TTGTCCCTGGCCCTGGTGGGTTGTGCGGGTGGCAGCCACTCAATGTGTTCCTTTCACATCGATGTTTCTCTCTCTCTCTCTGTTCCTCTCTCTCCCTCCCACTCTACCAAAAAAAAAAAAAAAAAAAAAAAAGGAAAAATGTCCTCGGGTGAGGATTAAAAAAAAAAAGAAGAAATAAATCCCAAACGAAAGAACAAGAGACCTCTACAGAAGATGAGATAAATGAAATGCAGTTAAGCAAATTATCAGAGGTAGAGTTCAGAGTCATGATCTTGAGAAAGCTCAACAGCATGAGTAAGGACCTCAACACCATGAGTAAAGATATAGAAGCATTGAAAATCAATCAAGTGGAAATGAAAAATGGCATAGCAGAAATAAAGAACACATTGGAAGGAATAAACAGCAGAGTAGAGGAAGCTGAGGACTGAATCAGTGAATTAGAAGACAGGGTAGAAAAAAATCAATGAATCAGAAAATCAAAGGGAAAAACAATTAAAAAACAAGAAGACAGCTTAAGAGAACTGTAGGACAACTGGAAATGTAATAATATTCGCATCATAGGACTCCTCAAAGAAGAAGAAAATGAGCAAGAGTTAGAGAATATATTTGCAAAAATAGTGACAAAAAACTTTCCTAATTTGGTGAAGGAAGAAGGCATTCAAGTTCAAGAAGCACGGAGCTGCCCAAGTAAGAAGAACCCAAAAAGGCCAACACGAAGACACATAGTAATTAAAATGCCAAAATTAGAGGCAAAGAGAAAATCCTAAAGGCAGCAAGAAATAAGCAACAGGTTACCTACAAAGAAACCCCCATAAAGTGATCAGCTGACTTCTCACAAGAAACTCTACAGGCCAGAAGGGAATGGCATGAAGTATCAAGGTCATAAAAAACAAGGATGTGAATCCAAGACTACTCCATCCAGCAAGGCTATCATTCAAAATAGAAGGTCAAATAAAGAGCTTCCCAGAGAAAAAAAGACTAAGGAACTACATTAGCACCAAACCAGCACTGCAAAAAATGTTAAAAAGACTGCTGTAAGAAGTAAAAGAAATAGGAAGAAGAAAAATGTGATCACATTAAACAAAAATGCCAATAAATAACTACATATCAATAATCACGTTAAATGTAAATGGATTGAATGCTCCCATAAAAAGACACAGAGTAGCTGATTGGATAAGAAAGCATGACTCATATATATGTTGTTTACAAGAGACCCACCTCACAACAAAAGACTCACGTAGGTTGAAAGTGAAGAGATGGAAAAAAATCTTACTAGCAAACAGAAAAAAAAAAAAAAAAAAAAAAAAGCTAAGGTAGCAGTACTCATATCTGATAAAATAGATTTCAAAATAAAGGACATAATTAGAGACAACAAAAGTCACTATATAATATTGAAAGTATCTATCCAACAGGAAGATATAACCTTGATAAACATGTATGCACCCAATATAGGAGCACCAAAATATATTAAAAATCTTCTGGAGGACTTCAAAGGAGAAATCAACAGCAATATAATCATAGCAGGGGACTTCAACATCCCTCTGACATCACTGCACTGATTCTCTAGACAAAAAATTAACAAGGAAACACAGACTCTAAATGAAGCACTAGACCAAATAGCCTTAATAGATATCTACAGGGAATTACACCCCAAATCTACAGAATTCACATTCTTCTCAAGTGCACATGGGACATTCTCAAAGATAGACTACACGTTAGGACACAAACTAAGACTCTACAAGTTCAAGAAGACTGAAATCATGTTATCAAGCATCTTCTCAGATCACAATGGCATAAAACTAGAAATCAATTACAACAAGAACATGCAAAGACATTTGTACACATGGAGGCTAAATAGTATTTTATTAAACAATAAATGGGTTACTGAGGAGATCAAAGAAGAGTTTAAAAACTTCCTGGAAACAATGAAAATGAACACAAAACAACACAAAATTTATGGGATGCAGCAAAAGCAGTTCTGAAAGGGAAGTTCATAGCACTACAGGCCTACCTCAAGAAACAAGAAAAATTTCTGATAGACTATCTAACCTCACAATTTAAAGAACTAGAATGCAAACAAAATAAAAACCCCAGAGCAAGTAGAAGGAAAGAAATAGTAGAGATCAGAGCAGAAATAAATGACATAGAGACTTACAAAAACAATTCAAAAGATCAATGAAACAAAGAGCTGGTGTTTCAAAAGAAAGTTAAATGAGATTGATGGGCCCTTAGCTAGACTCACCAAGAAACAAAGAGAGAGAACCCAAATACAGAAAATCAGAAATGAAAGAGAAATAACAACTGACACCACAGAAATACAAAGTATTGTTAACAAATACTATGAACAATTATATGGCAACAAATTCAACAATCTATGTGAAATGGACCAATTTGTAGAAACACATAGTCTCTCAGAACTGGTCCAGGGAGACATAGAAAACTTGAACAGACCAATAACAACAAAGTAAGTTGAAGATGTAATCAAGACTTTCTCAGCAAACAAAAGTCCCAGCCTGGACGACTTCACGGGGGAGTTTTACCGAACATTCAAAGAACGAACACCCATTCTTTTCAAACTATTTCAAAAAAATTCAAGAAGAAGAAAGACTTGTTTTATGAGGCCAGCATAATTTTAATTCCAAAACCGGAAATAGACACTACAAATAAAGAAAACTACAGGTCAATATTCCTGATGAACATGGATGCCAAAATCCTTAAGAAAATACTGTCAAATTGGATTCAGCAATTCATCTAAAAAAAATTATTCAGCATGACCAAATGGGATTCATCCCAGGGGTGCATGGCTGGTACAATATTCACGAATCAATAAATGTGATACAGCACATAAACAAAAAGAAAGATAAAAACCACATGATCATATCAATAGATGCTGAAAAAGCATTTGACAAAATCCAGCAACCATTTTTGATAAACATGCTCAGCAATGTGGGGATAGAGGGATCATATCCAGACATAATAAAGGCCATATATGAAAGACCTACAGCCAAAATCATACTCAGTGGGAAAAATCTAAAAGTATTTCCCTTAAGAACAGGAACAAGACAGGGATGTCCACTTTTGCCATTTTTATTTAACATAGTACTGGAAGCCTTAGCCACAGCAATCCGACAGGAGGAAAAAATAAAAGTAATCCAAATTGGAAAGGAGAAAGTGAAACAGTCATTATTCACAGATGACATGATATTATACATAGAAAACCCTAAACACTCCATCAAAAATCTACTAGACTTAAATGAATTTGGCAAAGTAGCAGGATACAAAATTAACATCAAGAAATTGACGCCATTCTTATACACCAATGATGAACTCACAGAAAGAGAAACTAAAAAAAAAATCCCATTTACCATCGTGGCAAAAAAAGTAAGATACCTAGAAATAACCTTAACCAAAGAAGTAAAGGACTTATTCACAGAAAACTACAGGACATTGAAAAAAGAAATAGAGGAAGATATAAAAAAGTGGAAGCACAGACCTTGTTTATGGATTGGAAGATTTAACATCATTAAAATGTCTATATTACCAAAGCAATCTATAAATTCAATGCAATCCCCATCAAAATACCAACAACATATTTCATAGAACCAGAACAAATACTTCAAAAGTTCATATGGAACCAAAAAAGACCCCGAATAGCCACAGCAATCTTGAAAAAGAAGGATAAGGTAGGTGGGATCACAATACTGGATATCAGGTTATATTACAAAGCCACCGTAGTCAGAACAGCCTAGTACTTTCACAAGAACAGGCATATAGACCAGTGGAACAGAATAGATAACCCACAAAAGGACCCAAGACGTTATGCTCAATTAATATTTGACAAAGGTGGCAAGAGCATACAATGAAGTAAAGACAGCCTCTTTAATAAATGGTGTTGGGAAAATTGGACAGTTACAGGCAAATATAGCCACATGGCATTTGTGTGCTCTGTCCAAAACTCTGTCTTTGTTGCTCCCTGGTGAAGTCAAGTTCCTTTTTAGGAAGCCATTTTCCCTCTCTGACCTTCCTCATGGAAGGTGAGGCAGCATTCAGATCTCAGTCATGTTGCAATAAATAGTAGTTGCTTGGAGCTTTCCTAGCCCAGTGGCTGACACCTGACAGAAGTAATCATTATAGGCCACATCCCATCTGCATTTGCATAATTAGAGCTTCTTTGTTTTAGAGGTTTTGCTTTGTTTTTTTCTCTTCCCAGGTTTGGGGAAAGCAAAGAAGAGCCAATTATGGGTCACTTCTTTGATTAATAAATGTGTGTATGTGTTTAAAGGAGGCATTAAAAATCAACCAATTTGTCAGACTCCCACACTGATGGCTGATTTGAGTCTGAAAGGCTTTACAGGATGAAGAAGCTCTTTAGGGAGGCAGACCTGAGTGCTCTCCGTGGGGCGGTGTCAGGTTACAAAAACTATGAGGACCTGGGAACCCAGAGAATGCAGAAGAAATGCACAGCAAGAAATTTAGTTTGGTTTAAACACAAACTCTGTAGAAGGGATGATGAGGCTGCCAAGCTCAGTGGTCACCAGACTGAGGAGGGCAGAGAAGGTGCTGCAAAGGGGCCGGTGCCAGCACAGGGCGGCTGTGATGACTAGTCGTCCTCGGGACTCACTGAATATGGGGGATGAGGAGGAAGAAGGGACCAGGACAAGGGGCACAGGATGAGGAGGAAGGACCAGGGGTAAAGAGGAGGCATCCCTGCTAGAAAACCAGGAAGAAATATTATGGGTATATGACAGTTTGTGTATGAATAAAATGACAAAAACTGAAGCAAAAAAGTGTGGTTAATGCTGACAGAAACAAAAGTAGATCTGTAATTCGCAGGGTCAGTTTCTAGATTACTGAACCACCTGGTCTCACATTTATTAGTTTTATGGGTACAATCACCTGTCAGTGTCCTAATAATGGCAGAGAGAATTGGAAGTAGAGGTATATATTCTAAGTGAAAGGCAGGCACCAAAGTGACTTTGAAACTGTGCAGCTGTCATTACCTGCAGTGAATGAAATCTGGGACAGGGTTATGTTGGCTGAAGGAGGCTGCATCAAGGTTCATGCAAATCTCGACATTGTCCCCTGCCATGATTCGCACGGCAGCTTTATTTTCATCCTCGAAAATCTGCCGTTGTAAGGAGGCACACAGAAGCAGCATGAAGTCATCTGGCAAGACAGAGGTAAGATCACTAAACCTGGGTTTATACCTATAGGAAAGTCCCCATACAGCAGGAGCTGCTTCTTAACTCCCAAGGGAGTTATGTTCCGAAAATTCTTCCTGGATTGCAATGTTGGGGCCAAGTTCCCACCTTCCCTACCATGGGGGTTGCAAGAGGGACAAAGTGGGAGAGCCCCTGGATTCTGTCTGCATGGGGGTAAGTGAAAGTATCAGGTGCCAATTATTGGCCTTCAAAACTCTCTTTATTTGCATTTATTTTCCACCAGTTTTGAGGAGGCCATTTGAGCCCTTTTCCTATCTTTATCTTTTTATATGTGGTAGAAGACATTTTTGTTTTTCTTTGTTATCTCCACTCCCCTTAGCTTTTGTGACCAAAGACTCTTCCAGAGCACACACTGTAGTGAAGGCTTGGTGACAACAGGTGACAATTACGGGCTGATTTGTGAGAGTGGAAGAGAAGTCTGTGTCAGCTGTTCTTGTGGCCAGCAGCCCAGAACTCCAGGCAGGCTGGCAGCCTCCAGCCCAGGTTGCTTTGTTGTTCTTCAAATTAAATCTGGACCTGCCCAGTTTGGCTTAGCGGTTAAAGCATCAGACCAAAGATGGAAGGATTGCAGGTTCGATCCCTAGCCCCTGTCAGGGTTGTGCAGGAGGCAATCAACTGATGTGTCTTTCTCACATCAATGTCTCTCTCTCTCTTTCTCCTCCCTTCCTTCCTCCCATTCTATCTAAAAATCAATAAAAAAATATCCTTGGGTGAGGATTAACAACAACAACAAAAATTAAATCTGAATGTGTTTAGGCATCAAAGTAGCTTTTTGGTTTTCCACAGCACCCAGCGTTCCCTATTGTTTTAGGTGGGAGAGGATAATCTTGACCTTTGAATTATCAGGCTGCCCTTGAAATGGCTTAGGACTGGGGACCTGCTCAGGAGCATGGGTAATCTGAGTAGGATATTCCTGGCTAGCACTATCTTATCTTCAGATTTGGTCTGTGGTGGCAGCCAGAAAAAACAGCTTCACAAAAATACATGGCCTCTCTCTCCAGTCTACCTTCTAGAGGGAGGGTTTGCAGAGGTGTGTGTTGGGGGGCAGGGGGCGTGTGTGTGTGTGTTGGGAGGTGCAATTATAAAAGTGAATATGGTATTTCAATGTTTATTTATTAATTTTGCAAATGTAATGGGGCAAGTAGAGGCCATTAACGACCTGTGATATTAATGCATTGAGACAAACCTTTTACATGATTATAAAGTGCAGTAGAAGAAGCAAAGGCACTAATGCATAATGCATGAGATGGATTAATAAATATAAAACCAAATACTAGTGCTCTGTGGCCCCAAGGCTGCAACACTTACAGATGAGAAACACAGAGTTAGGTCGCACAATGAAGTCTGGGAAGTACAGCCACTTTATGATATTGTCATTGAAGTTGGCACCCTTGAATCTCCATGGGTAATCTGCAGGGAGAGAGGTGGTGAGGAACAAAATCAATATGCTTCTTTGCTGTCCCCTGTGCATAATGTAAGGATGGATCATAAGAGCAGCTGCTCCTGGGGAGACACACGCACCTCTGCAGGGTGCTGGGGGGATGCCTATGCAAATGAAATACTGGAACGTGATGATGCATGCCAGGAAGCAGCAGTACTTGGGCCAGATCTCTGCGATGGCTTTTCTTCTGCGTCGATATAAGACAGCGATCAGCCAGCAGGCATGAATCATGGCATAGAAATCCATTCGCTGACCGATTACATTAACTGCCATTAGGAAACAGGTCTGTGTAAGGATGAAAAGAGGCACAAAAATGAGTTTACAGGAAAGGAAAGTGGTGTCAGCTATCAGCCCTTTGCACAGGCAGAGACCTGTCTTCCTGAGGTAGGTATCTCTGCACATGTTCACCAGGTCTTGTCTTTTTGTGTATCTGGAAGAAATAATACTGTAAAAATTACTTCTGAGGGAGAAACTGACTACATTACTATTAACAAAAACTACTTCAAAGCATGAAGAGAACTACAGCTATGATTTCTTTATGAAAATTACTATTTCAAATTCATTCCATTAAGGAGCAGGCAGTACCACAACCATTTCAGGTCAAAACAATTCATTTTGGCTAAGGTTACATTTTCAGAATGCACAAAATAGAAAAAAAATTATAATATTTTCTGTTTACAAGGAACCAGTTAAAACAAGTGATAGGTATTCATGATCTGTAAGACTTCAGAGACCCAGAGAGGCTGAGTTCACTGCTGCAAAGGGCTCATTGGCACTTGGTCTTGGAAAACCTTCAACCAGGCCAGGTAAACCCTTCAGCAGAATCTCCTGCTAATCCTGAGGATCAGTAATCATGGCCTGAACATGCAGGATGAAACTGCAGTGGCCAACTCGCTGAAAGCAGCTATTGGAATTTTCACAGAAAATAGGAAGAAAATGCAACAGCAAGAAAACTCACCTCCAGACCAAACTTGTAGAAGAAATAATTTATGAAATATTTGGCACAATTTATAAGTCCATCATCTAGATGGTGTCTTGTAATGTCATGAAAGATGGTTTTAGATACAGGAGCTGTGAGGTTGTTTCGCCCCCGATAGTATTCCTGATGGCGGTAAACTGTAACCTCAAAGGCTAGAATGGCCAGCATCAGCAGATTATTCTACAAAGCAAGAAAACACAGCTGTGTGAAGCCAAATGCTTTATGACTTGGTAATTTTAAGCAATCTTCATAATAAATCATTTGATTCCATTCTTGATGTTGAATAGAAAATGCTTTATAAAATCCCACCTCTATAAAATACAGTCTTGAATTCAATGTTTATTTTTTCTGTTTCCTGGTAACAAAGTGGAGTTATCTGCATGATGCAAATCAGGTAAATTTGCGTGATAATAGGATCTAGAATCTCTAGACAAGAACCTGTTCCAGAAAAAATACACACCCGTGTACCAGGAAGCAGTGTCCAGATACCTTTGGAGGGTAGTCCAACCTTATTGGCAAGTAGAAGTGCAAAAACACATCTACAGTGTTCTACAAGGATGTGCTGGGACACAGACTAAGCAGCAGAAGTGGAATAAACATTAGAGGGGACATTTCTGAACACTTCTGAAATCTGACTAGAGAGAGGAGTATTGAAAAACATGATGATAAAATAGTAATGATAATAATAATGATGATAATAATAATAAAAAAATAGTTAACATTTATGGAACCATACATGCCAGATAGTATTCTCATCACTCTTTTCAAATATCAGTTTGCTTTATTCAAGTAACAGCTCTCTATGGTAGATATCATTTGTATATTACATGACAGATACGGTTGATATCATTGATAAACTTTACAAATGATATCTGCCATATGGTCTGCTGTATGAGATCTGCCAGAGTCAAAGGAAAACAAGTTGTTTGGTACATTTTAAAATTCTAGGTTTTGAATATAAATGTTTCATTTTTAATTTCCTTGTCAGCATAATATTACTAAAATTAGTCATTAAAGTAAAATATAAAAAATCTGAAGTATATTACTTTCATTATATTTCTTACAACTGCTTGCAAAGTTCCTTTTTCAAAAATATGTTCTTTATTTTAGTACCTTTAAATGTAATATATTCCCTTTATTAAAAATTGTAGAGAAATAGATTTTAAATAGCAAAAATTCTTGTAATGCTACACCTACTTCTCAGAAATAATCATTGCTGACCTTTTGTTATATTTTACTCATTTTTTCTCTGTATCAAAAAAGATTATACTATGTACAGTATTCTAACATTTTTTTAACTTAATAGATTTTGAACATCTTTTAATGTCTGACATAATCAATCTTCCTCAATCCATTAGTGGTTCTATAATGTTCCAGTAACTATACCTGTCACATTTTATTCAATTAATCACAAACTACTTGGTAAATTCCTTTTCAGCACAACACAATACTTATTTTAATATTTAGTCATTTGTCTCAAAGGTGAGTCTAAATGCCAAATAAGATAAGGTTGCTGTCAGATGTGTTAGGGGTTTCAAGGGAAAGGATTCTAGAAATAACTGTGCAGAGGCACCAACTCAGCATGACAAAGCCTTTACCCTCAGGTAGACAAGCAAAGGTGAAGACTTCCTCAGGCCCACCCACTCTGTTGGGTCAATAGAACTGTTGTAGAGTAGAGACTTGTTCAACTGGAGGAAGGGAATATCTGTTTGATTTTCATTTGGCTGAAAAAAGAGAAAAGAAAGTAAAAAAAGATGGCTCCACAGGTTATGATATCAGGTTATTCTTTAACTTTGAGCATAAGAACATAAGGGAAATGGGAGGGAAAGACCATTTTAAAGGGGAAATCTCATCAGAAATAGAGACTTGGGTCTGGCAACATATCCAACCTGCTAAGGTGACTTAGAGGTCAACAGAAAGTGCTTGGGGTATAGATTCCCCAATATCCATCTGACTTCCCTAAAGCTCAGTCTAAAATATTCCCCCATCTTTGAGTCTCACCAAGGAACAGTTTACAGAAAATTTCTTAGGCTCAATGGTTTGCAGCTGGTACAACATTTTGCAGACGATGATCACACATGTCCAGACAGTGCAGACACTTGAAGCCAGACGGCGTAGCTTGGTGTATGGTAGAGCAAAAGCCCAAGAAATCAAAAATACATAGTTGAACACAGACACCTGAAAACATAAAATCAGAAATGGGGACAAAAATACATAACATGGTATAACATCCACAAAACATGGTAATTTGATTTATTCTGTTCTGCTCAGTTCATCAGAAGTTTATTGGGTTCCAAGCATGTGAAGGCATTGCCCTAGGTGCTAAGATATGTGTCTTGTATGGTAGACAGATATATAATCAGATTATGTCAGTATAACGTAGCAGTAATAAACTATAGATGCAAATAGGTTCCTGTGAGAATACCCAGAAAGGGTCCTTGGCCCAATCCGGAGCTTCAGGAAGCATTTCCTGGAAAGAATGATGCTGAGCTGAGCCTTGAAGGGTGCAATGAGTTAGCCAGACCAAGAAAGGTGAGAAGTGCATTCAAGGAAAAGGATGTGTGAGCAAAGGCAGGAAAGCATAAAGGAGCCTGGTGGGAATGGGTGACCACAAACACTTGGGAGTTCTGGAGTTGGAAGGAGTGACTTACAGCAGTATGAAGCTGCAGATGCAGCTGGGAGCCACATTGTGATGGACCCTTCTAAAACCATGTGATGGCCCCCATTGTGTAGAAAATAGTGACCCACAGGGAAACCTTAAGAAAAAAATTAGCATTTTATTTAAATACATGTAACTGAAGAACAGAGGTGCATCCATGAGGTTAGACCAGAGAAAAGGAGACCAGCTCACATGCACTATAATTGCCCAGGAGAACAATGACAAGCGTCTACACTTGGATAGTGGAGCAGAGGTAAGGAGGACTCATGGATTTGAGATGGGAATTAAAATTAGCTAGATTTGATGATTGATTGGCTTGGAGGTGGTGGTGGTGGTAGGTAAGGGAGAAAGTGTAAGGAATGCTTCCCAGTTTTCTGGCTTGGGAGCTGGAGTCACTACTGAGAGAGAATCTGAAGTGAGGGCAGCTGCAAAGAGGGAAGACAAGGCCCTGGCTGGGTAGCTCATTTGGTTAGAGTGTTTTTCCAATACACTAAGGTTGTGGATATGATCCTCAGTCAGGGCACATACAAGAATTAACCAACGAATGCATAAATAAGTGCAACAATAAATTGATGTCTGTCTCTCACTCCTCCCCTTTCTCTCCCCCACTTCTTCACTCTCTCTAAAAATCAATAAATAAAAACAATTTTTTTTTAAAAAAAAAGAGAGACGGCAGTGACTTCAACTTGATTTTAGGATGTGAGTATTTATTGATCAGGTGAGATGTGCACTCATTTGTAGAAGCACTACCATCTTATTCAGCTATAGAAATTTATTCTGGGTATTATCAAAATAATATCTAAATATTGTTAAAATAATATCCTAGGGATATTTAATATTACCAGGTAAAAATAACCTCATGCAGCCCTGCCAGGTTTGGCTGAGCAGTAGAGCATCAACCCACAGAACAATGAATCATGGGTTTGATTCCGGTCAAGGGCACGTACCTTGGTTGCCATTTGTCCCCGGCCCTGGTGGGGGTTGTGTGGGAGGCAACCAGTCGATTTGGCTCTATCACATCGATGTTTCTCTCTCTCTCTCTCTCTCCCCCTCCCACTCTGTCTGAAGATAAATGTAAAAATATCCTTGAAGGAAGATTAGAAAAAAAAAAAATAACCTCATGCAGTCAATTGACAAAATTGAACATGTACCAAGTGCTAGGTACTATGGGCTATGAGATATGATTCCTGCTTGGCTTACAAATTTAGACAAGAAATGTGGAGACTCCAGGACAGTACCTAAGTCTGCAGTTTGTAATGTACTACATTTCTTACTCGTCTATTTAACTACTTGACACTGTCCAGAGCAAGAAACTTCTCAGAGTTCCTTGAAGTGCTGAAATATGAAGATAGTAATAGCTGCCTTACAGAGTTAATCGAGGATGAAAGAGATACTGTATGCAGAAGTACCCTGTAAAATATAAAGCGTTCACCAACATAGTAGATATTACATTTCAACAAAATATTCTGACTAGCCAGGTGACTCCTCCTCCTCAGTTATCAGCAAGTACAATGTTAAAAAGCAAATTTATTAAGGGTATTATGATAAAAAGTCTTTTTGTTAACTTTTTATTATGTATAAAAACAGTACAACAGCCCGGCCGGTGTGGCTCAGTGGTTGAGCATCAACCCATGCACCAAGAGGTCACTGGTTTGATTCCCAGTCAGGGCACATGCCCAGGTTGTTGGCTTGATCACCAGTGGGGAGCATGCAGGAGACGGCCAATCGATGTTCTCTCTCATCGATGTTTCTATCTTTCTCTCCCCTCCTCTTTCTCTAAAATCAATAAAGAAAAAAATATTAAAAACAAAACAAAATAGTACAACAAAATTTTTGACTGGTACAGAGAAGTAAAGATAATACATTTTATTAAGTCCAAATGAGGTTCAAGGCAACATTCTATGTGGATTGTTGCCCTCAAGAAACACATGGGGTCAGGCAAGTAAGAACTACATAAACAGCCTATGACAACATGATAGAGGAAGAGCCCTTCTGGGGTGAGCTGAGTTGTGTGGGTGCACACAGCTGATTATCTAACCCAGTATGGGGAAAGCTGCCCAGAGGACCTGAGGTCAAATAGGACATCACTGGGCAGAGGAATTGTAGTCGAAGGCCTTACAAGCAAGAGAGAGCATGGAGTGGACATCTTCAGAGCAGCAAGTGGTTTACTGTGAGAGCAGTGTGATCTGAGTGCATTTAAAGATCTTTGAAATGTACCAGGCAGCTTGGGTGTCTAGGAAAGGAAATGGTGAAGTGGTCTAGGACTAGATCATGAGTGTTAGATTGTGTTATTGGGAGGATGATAGAGACCTGTTGAAAGTTTTCAAGTAGAAGATTAACATGATCATACTTATAATCTGAAAAGATTATTATGACTGCATGACAGAAGACAAATTAGAAGGGGAAAGGATTACAGCAGAGCTGGGAATATTTTAGAGTAATTGAAAAGGGGACTGATACAGATAGAGGTAATGAGCTTAGCCTTAGAGATATTCAGTTGAAGGTGCTTTGGGGACATGCAAGAGTGAGGTCATTTTCAGTTGGCACTTGGGGATCTGAGAATGGAGTTCAAAGAGGGGACTGGTTGAAGATACAGATTTACAACTCATTGCATGTAGATGGCAAGTGAATGACAGGAGCTTACGAGATCACCCACAGAGAGTACAGAACCAGAAAGGGGTGTGAAAGTAGAACCTGAAGAACCCCAGGAAAGAAGCTGGCAGGAAGAGAAGAAGGAGCCCCTGTGAATGAGCCTGGAAAGAAGGGCCAAAGCAGTGGGGAGAGGCTGGGAATGTGTGCTAACTTAGAAAGCAAGGGAATAAGAGACAGTTTCAAGGATGAGAAAATGATCATCAATATCCATTGTCACAGAGAATCAAGTAAAATGAGCAGACTCTGTGAGGTGGGTGTTTTTATTTTTATCATTTTACAAAGAAGAAAACTGAGACTCAGATCAATGTAATTCTTTGTTCAGTGCAAACATGGTTGACAATGGTCTCATCACCTTGGTGACAAGAATCTCATGGAGTGTACATTAAAAAAAGAAAGACAAATACTTGGGCCCCAATTAATACCTGATAAGTCAGAATTCCTAGGGAAATGACTAATAATCCTATAGAACAAGTGTCCAGGTAATTTTTATTATCAAAGAGTTTTGGGAAGCAATTTTATGCCATAATGCCTTCCTAACAAAACTCTTTTACACAAATTGTCATTTTATATGAACATAAATTTTTGTTGTTGTTAATCCTCACCTAAGGATTTTTTTTTTCCCACTGACTTTTAGATACAGTAGAAGGGAGTGAGGGAGAGAGAAACATTGATGTGAGAGAGACACATGGATTGGTTGCCTCCCATACAACCCTGACCAGGGCTGTATGTGACCCAGGTACGTGTCCTTGATCAGGAATAAAACCCATGACCCTTTGGTCCATGGGTTGATTCTCTAACTGCTGAGCCAAACAGAATTTTGGTTCCTGGGCCTGTGCTCACCTGTCCCTGGCCTCCCTCCCTCAGAGAACCTACAACTTCAATACCACTTCTGCATGCAATCCCCCTCCTGTGTGCTCAGAGCTTCCAGGGAACACCTGTAACCCAATAGTTGATGCGACTTTGGTTTTATTTATCAGCCGTTACCATTAGACTGCAAGCTGAGACAAGAAGTGTATTCAATGCTTCTGTACCAGCATCTAGCACAGTATAAGCATTCAATTTATTGTGATGTATTATAAGTATATATAAAGTCTAAATTCATGCTTTGTGAGAGTGAAAGTAATAATAATGAAATATCAACTGGCATTATCTCAAGCTTGCAAAGTTATTTACCTCCTTCTTTCAGTCAGTAAACATTCATTAAGCTTCTACAATTGGCTAAGTCCTCTGGGAGTTACTAAGGATACTAAAAGAAATATATGGTCCCTTTCCTCAAAGAATAACTTGATCTCACAGAGCACTCTAGGAATGTTTAGGAATTTAAAATATGGTTACACATCGAAAAGAGAAAGAATATTACATATATTTTTAAATTAGGTCATTCCAAAGTGCCATCACTCCCCAGGAAGGGATGTTGATATAAGAGAACAGTTCCTGTAACGAATTCTTTCTCAGAGACTTTTTCTCTCTTGGATGCCTATAATGATAACCTTGGAATGGTTTAATATTTATGGCAGAATGACTATAAAAGTTTGTGAAAACAAGATCCCTGGCTGATGGCCTTGGATGAGCATAGTTTGAATCCAAAGAATGTGGTCACGCATCTCAAAGATTTAACTGGGGATGCTGGTTTTGTTCTCGTTTTGCCATTTACTGATTAGCAATTTTTGAGAAAGGATTTATTTTGTATTAATCAAAAATAATAAACTATGAATGCAAATTTATATAGCAAATGTCATTGCTGACAGGCTTCTTGCATTGAGAAAAGTCAGATGTTCAAAGCAGAAGAGGCCCCTGCAGGTGTAAATGAGCATCTCAGAAGTGCACAACCTGAGGCCGCTGTTCACAGGTGAATGTGTCTCTGGAGTTGTGCAATATAGCCACCTTGACACAAACAGCTATACACTCTCCCTTGTTATAATCCAGTAAAATTCAAACACATTTCATGCTGGATTGGCACATGGCTCCTGACCAGAATCACTACAAGAGTCAGCGTTCATCTCTCTTCCTCAACTGTACTCAGTATAGAAAGGTGTTAAGTCAAAGTATTAAGAGACACCAAGTTAGAGCAGATGGAGATATAACATTCCAAAACAAGGTGTAAATCAACCGGTACAAATTTCAAAACAGTTGATGGGAAACCATTTAGGGGTATTTAAAGCCCTCCATGAGGAAATACATGAGGTGACAGCATGGGGGGAGCGTGAAGAAATTTCATTGCAGGGAGGTGACTCTGGCTGTCTCTTAACCCCAAGAAGATGGGGTGAGATGAAGGTAGACTACATTCTCTCTTCATAATCACGAGTGAGAAAGCCTCAAGCAGAAACTCTCAAGAGCTCTTAGTGTGTATATATTGGAGTTTTTGCATGAAGTTTTGGCACTGATGTCTAACTTCTACCCAGAAAATCCAGCTGGCAAGGACAGACAGGCTGCTGTGGTGGCACAGCCCAGCAGACTGCTTCACTGCCATCCAAACAGAGCAGGGACTGCGTGAATGTTGACCTTGGGCCTGATGCAGGAGGGAGGACACTGGAGCTGTTTTGAGTACTGCTTAAGGGGATTTCCTGAAAGGGGAACAAGTCTTCAGGAGAAAGGGCTCCAGGACAACGATGCTGGGAAACTAGGGCAGAGGAGCCTCCATGAGAGAAAGGGTAGGTTTAATGAATCCAACCCAGAGTGTGAGGCCACCTATAATAGTACAAATCAAATCCCCCCATCTCCATCCCTGCCCCACAGAGGTTCTAACAGAGGTTAGTTCACTAGGGTAGAGGCAGTGAGGGGAAGAATGTCTGAGAAAGAAGAAACAGCTAGAAAGAGGAGACCCTTCTTCCTGAGTAAGACATCAGAGTTTGATTCTTTACTGTGGATAAAAAATTTTGATTTTGCTTCACTTTAAGATAATTGTGGGATTTTCCATTACCTAGGAATGATAAAGTGTTTTGCATTCAGGGGTATGAAGGAAAGTTTCCTTGCTGATTATGTCTCATATGTTCTGATTGCTCAATGCTTCAGTGACATCAATAAGAATCAGCTGTGAACATGCTGAACTGACCCATAGACCAGTCAGCAGAGAGAGGGGAGAGACCTCAGAGGTGATGGTACCGAAGGATCATGCAGTAAGTCACACTTTGGCTCCAGAAACCCTTCATGGGTAGAATGACATCATGTGAAACTAAGAGGTACCCATGGGGGTTAAGCCATTTTACACCAATAGGGTTCTGGAAGATGCTAGACCTAGTGGGAGCAAAATTTCTCCAATTCATGAGTCTCTAATGTGTTTTAAAGTTATAGGTGAGAGAGATGGAATGAGGAATAAAAATTGTGGGAAATCCACACAATGTGTGAATCATAGAGAAGAAATTGGTTATATTCCATCAAAGGCTGTTTTATTAATGGGGTAACAGAGTGAATAGATCATGATCTTTTATTTGTTTGATAGTCTGTTAATAAGACATTCTTTAGACTCATTAAGGATGATTTAAAAAATATATGTCTGTTTTTTGTTTAGGATTTGTAAGAAAGCAGTATCATTTTATGCCCTTTTGTTATGAATTATGTAGAATGGATTTCAGAGAGTACATATTCTGTGTCCTGGTCACACCAATTTTTCTCTCATTCAATGCCCGCTCCTGTCAGTACCTCGTTTAATGTGCCTCCACACCTCTGCCGCACAGCTTCTTAGGCCGTCAGAAGTCATCTATGTATCACATTTGGTTAATTCAGAAATGGCCTTGGCTCATTTTTAGCCAATGCCTTATTTTTTCCTTTTTTATTCTCTTTAATATTCTGGCTCTCAAATTGTCTAAATTTTTAGTCAATTCACCAATATAGTTATAATACTAAAAATCTTTCATTCTAGATTAATATACATATTAGGCTAGACTGTAGTGCTAATAAATGTATAGAATTGGTTACTTAATAATGGAGCTTATGTCATTTTCAGCCACAAATCTCACAGGGAGAGTGGTTTTGTTTTTGTTCCAACCTGGCAATGATCACTTATCAATTTCAGATGGTTTGTGTGAAGTGGGAAAATGTTCTAGCTCAGACTGTGGAGCTCAAAGAAAGGTTTGTCCTTAGTTACCTATTCGTGAAACATTTTAAGTTTATAGTATTGCAGTTGTCATATTATATTATTATGTAACTTTAGAAAAATATAAATTTTAGAGAGCAAAGAGTCTTTGAATTGTCACTAAAAATATAGTTCAGGGAAATTAGGAGTATGTGAAAATTGTTGGTTGAATAAATTGAAGGAAAGCTAATCTCTCCACAGTTAACATCAAATAATTGTCATTTGAATAATGACTCTCCTTTTCAAAGATGAGAAAACAAGTGCAATTATAACGTTGAAAGACTGTATCTTGTCTCAAAAAATCCAATAGTAAATAAAGTGAGCTCTACTATAGATTTTGTTAAATTTTGGAACTCAAGTTTACTTTTTGGTAACATAAACTATAGTTTTTTTCTCAAATAGAATTTAGAGAGATAGATTCTCACTTATAGTACAGAAAGCCAGCTTGCTGTCACACACTTCAACTAAAGACTAGATGAATGTAAGTAACCTTTGTGATATGACCAAGCCAATTAGGAACTGAGCCAACAGCCTCTTCTCACCTATTAATTATTCCTCTTCTCAACTGCCCATCGTTTTTCTGTAAAATAAAGAGTATGTGCCTGTCTTAGTGTCTTGATGTTCTAATGGAATGGGAACTACATTTCAAACAAATCATGGACAGCTGGAAAAAAAATAATGACCCATTGTGGTTCTGTTTGGCCTGATGATACAACAAATGTTTACTTGCCTCTTTCACAGAAACCCAGATAATGTACGATGAAACAATTTTGATGATGTGCAACTCCAAAATCCACCACATGAACACCTGCAGCTTGTGAAAATACTCCAGGAATTTTAAGAAGAGCACAGTGAGACGGTCAATCACCAGATGCCATTTGTTCCTTAAATCTGCAAAACAGTAAAATACCCAAGAGCATAAAAACGTTTTTGGTTTTTTTTAAGGGTTTTGGGGGGCATTATTATTTAAAGCAAATCTTGTAACTTTCAGTTTGAAATAAGAAGATGCAAAATAATAGTGTGGGTGAATTATAAGACTACCAAAATCTGGAGCAAGGGTGGTCTAAGGATTCCATGTGGTGATAATGATGCAGACATCATATGCTGAGACTCTGAGGAACAAGATTACTTTTATCTCTTTTAATTAAATTAGTGTGAAGAAGAATTTTGACCTTATTTACTCTTAAAGCTGAGCTCTAATTCCCTAATTTCCTGGGAATATTAAGTAACACGAGCTCTGTTTAAATGACATTTTTCTTGCTCAAGTCGTGCTCTGCAGGTGCCATTCTCCTTTCAGGGGCTTGACTAGAGAGTGGATGAAGCTCACAGGGCCTGGAGGACGGGCCAGGCAGCATGCCGCCAGAGGCAGGGAGAGCCTGCTCCTCTCACAATGGACGGTGAGCAGAGCATCAGAATGACCCAGTCTCCGTCCACACACTGTGGTCAGACTCATTTTAATCATAACTTTTAATCATTTTCTTCTTTCTACCTTGTGCTAGGGAGTCATATTTGCTGACTGGGGTGATGCTTCTGTCTAGAAGGATCGTCTTGGTGATCATTACTCAGAAGTGATCATTACAACAGGACTGCTTTGCGGAATCAACACAGCACCGCGTTCATAGACAAAAGCTCACAAGCCCAAGCAGATGATAAGAGTGAAGTGTCTCTTGAGTGGTTGAAACACTGTACTTGGTTCTAAAGGGTTAAGTTTTTAATTATTCTGAAAAAAACTTCTTTGCTGCTCAGATGATATTATAAGATTACAGCATAACTGGGCACAGTTCAGAAGTGGGGGTGACAGGTACTGAGGGAGAACAGATGCAGTCCAGTTTCTGCTGAGATGCTATTAGTAAAGGCCCCACCTGTGCTGAGGCAGAAACAACATTCCCCCTGACCTCTTGGTTCCACAGAGGTGGGCTCTACCTTCATACTGAAGAACACATGCTGCTCACATATAGAGAGAAGATTTCTGGGCCTCTCCTAAGATCTTCTGAGATGAATGGGTGAAGAGGAGCAGGTTTTCAGGGAGTTTGATTTTTGGAGGGATCTTCTACCTTGTGCTTTTTTATTGTCTGCTTTTGTAAAGCACAGAGCACAGCAAAGACACGTATAGCATCTTACTGTTGCAGCCCCAGAACATCACCACAAAGGCTGTTTTCTGGTTCCTCCCATGATTCTGGGGACGACTGAACAAACTCAGCTTGCCACCTTGTAGACTCTCTGTCAGACAACGTGTCTCACCACTGAGGTCATCTATTCTCAATATGCGCTATTAAAACATTATTTCAAGTAATGAAGAAAAACAGGAAAGAAGAGCCTAAAGAATAAAAGGAAAACATCTAAATAACAATGACAAAAAAAAAAAAATCTCTAGGAGTTGACCTGGAATGATAATTATCCAATCATTCATTTTCTCTTCCAGTGCCTGTGTCCTGAAACATTAGGGCAGAATTAGAAATATGTTCGTAATGATCAGTTTCCTAGAAAAGCCTTAAAATAATTTCCTTGAGGATGTGTTTGAAAAGGCCATGTCCAGCACTTTTGGAAACTCTGCACAGTTGCCTGATTCTGCTCTGGGAGGGAATGTCCTGTCTGAGGTTGCTGTCTAGTCTTGTGCCAGGATCACCAGTGTGGGTCAATAGCTGATAACCAGCCATCCACACTCTTCTTCTAAGACATTATTGGAGCAAATGGAACTGAAATATTTAACTATAGCAATCAAAACACCACACCCCAATTTTTGTTTTACTGAATGGGTCAAATATACATCTGTTTGGTGCAAGTCAGTGTTTCTGTCATGGGTCTGTCAGCCACCATTGTCCGAGCATTCACTGGTAGTGGGTGAATTACCTGATGTCTCTTCCTCTTCCTCTTCATCCTCCTCATCCTCCTCGATGTCTTTTCCAAGCTCACCCTTCTCTGCTTTCTCAGAGCATCCCTCTGGTTTCTCCTCACCAAACTCAGCCAACTGCTTCATCTCTGGCTTGTCCAGGCTGGTGGTCAGATTCATCATGGCGAGGTCTGGAAGGCTTCCTTCTGGGTGGGCCAATCTGTTGGCAGAGAGCAGCTGAGTCAAAAGAGGAAAGGGTGCTGGGAGCCATTTGAGTGAGGGGCAAGTTAAAGGAGGATGAACAAAAATGAACATCAGTGCATATGCACAGGCCTTGCAAGGTGGGGTTGTTAGCATCTTGTCACTTTTTTATAAAGCTCTTTCTAAAAATAAACTGTAAACTCACTTAGGTTTTGTTATCTCTTCCAATTCAGGTTGTAGTGATTAGTCAGTAATGAGAGCTATCAACACCTAAACTTGACATTTTTCCCGGAGGAGAAAATGGTCAGAGTTTAGGATGTAGAAGCATGAAATGGTGTCATGTAGACCAAGCATTTCATGGCTTCACAAGGGACTTACGCATTTTGGTGGATTGGTAATTTTTTCTTGATGCTGCTCAAAGTAATTGAAATAGAAAGGAAAAAAAGGAGATGAGAACAGAAGAGTTATAAGGAATATCAGAGATCACATATCATGCTACATATCATCCATTAGCGCATTCCTGTCCGCCAGTTGCAGTAAGTCCTAACGCAAATGCATTCCAGGATGGCACTGGTAGCGTGCTTTTGCTTGGAGCCCTATGCTTGGCAACTGATTTGAGAGTGGACAGGATTGCAGGTTGTAAGGGAGATAACATAAACTACTGAGGCAAATCACGTCATGCTTTTTTTTTAGTAACGCAGCAAACCATCCTACAAGAATCGTCATTCGCATTTTATATAGGTATTTAAAAAAATTCTTAACTAACGTGTGCTTCCAGTCAACCTTTGCATAGACTCAGCCCATTCTGCCATTATTTGAAGCATAGGTGGTGGATGCTAAATGCTTTCAGGAGAGGATATCTGTATTATGTCCCTGTTCATGGGCACAGATGTGACCTGCTGTACTAGCTGTTGAGAAGATGACACATGAGTGTCAGAGTGGTGGTACAGCCTCACTGAGCCAGGACAGCAACCAGGGCATTGCAGCTTACTTCCCAGTGGGTAATCACAAGTGTGATCTTTCTCCCGATTTTTTAAAAAGTTCTTTTTATTCATATTCAAATGAATGTTTGAAGGAACATTGTGAGTTATAAAGTAGATATTAGGAAAATGTCTACTGGAAATTCTGGTAGTCTTCTCCACTTGTCATAATTAATCTAAACATAGCTTTATTGTAACAGGATGGACAATAAATAATGTTATTCTATCTGTAAAAATGTGGGCTTTGGGTAAATTATTTAACCTCTCTAGAATTTATTTTTGATAAAATGAGGAAATTTGGCTAAAAATCTAAGCTTACTTGCAAATTGTTGGTTTTATATTTGAAACACACCTATGATGTTGGATAACTACTGTAATGAATCTATATTGTCCTTCAACTTTCAGAGAGGTTATCATTCAAAAGTAATTACTTTTTTGTAAATTTTTAAAAATTTTATTAATTTATTTCTGTTACAGATGTTTCTCCCCACCCCCAGACACCTTCCTCCCCATCCCCCACCCCCCGCATTGTTGTCTATGTCCACTGGTTACACATACATGCAGATACGTTCTTTGGTTTATATAATTCATGAAAAAGATGTTTCTATCAATTTCTAGAGAAGAAGGCAGAGAGAGAGAAACATCAATGTGAGAGCCAAACAGATCTGCTGTCTCTTGCATGCCCCCTACTGGGGATCAGCCTGAAAGCCTGGTGTGTGTCCTGACTGGGAATCAAATCAGCAAGGGAGGATACTCAACCGACTGAGCCACACCAGCCAGAGTAAAAGTAATTACTTGTAACAGACTGTCAAGCAGGTAAATTAAATAATGCCAGAAACAAGTTGTTAATTGCATGAAGAAATAACATTGTAAGGATGTTTCAGCATTGAAGAAGTTATGCTGACATATTTTCTAAAGCTAGTCAATTGACCAGCCAATCTTTAGGAAAGTCCCCCTTTCTTGAAACTCTAATAGCTAATGTTACACACCATCACTGTGCACCACACCTAAGCAAACATAATGATGTTCCTGCTTTGTCAGGACTCTATAGAGTAAATGGTATCAAATGCCAAAGCAGTCAGGTGCTACACAGTTGTCAGTATTTGTATGTTCTCTTCAGTATTGCCAGGGGGTTGTATTTTGTGTGTGAGAAGATAAACTTTTTTGTTATGCAGGAATCTGGTGGCTTTTATTGTGGAAGTATGACCATCTCAGAGTGCATTTCTAATGTCTACACTGACACTGCGATGGCTTAATATGAACAAAACGACTTTCCAATATTTAGTGTTATTTATGGAGTAAAACACGGAGATGAGGTTGTTTCTGTACCTGCCACTGTGACTACATAACAAAATCCTCAAGCAGCAGGCCCCAAAGTGCCCTTCTGCACAGGAAATCTTGAGAAGAACTTATTGAATGAAGGACTTAAAGAAGAACACTAGAGTAAATCTTTTGAAAGTTCATCCAAAAGATCTACTTCTGGAAGCTTATACTAATAGTCTACAAGAGATCTGGGGCCAGACAATGCTGGGGAGAGAAGAGAACTTAATTTCTGTGTCTAACATTGTTCATTTTCCTCTAACACAATCTTTATGAGGAAACAGGGCATGTGACTCCTGGGTGCCTGCTAGTGTAGTCTAGTCTCGTGAACTTGTAATAGATGACTAAAAGGGAAAATATGTATCAGGCTATTATTTACTAGTCTAGGAGTTAACTATCTGAGAAATTCCAATGAGAAAATCTTCATGTATAAAATGTGTATAGATGAAAATATTTTCAATGCATGATGGAAGTTTACTATTTTAAAAAGACCAATGCAGCCCTGGTTGTAGCTCAGCGGTTAGAGCGTCAGCCCGTGGACTAGAGAAACCCAGGTTTGGTTCCCGCTAAGGGCACATACCTTGGTTGTGGTTTGGCCCTGGCCCTGGTTGGGGGTTGCGTGGGTGGCAGCCACTAGATAGATGCGTCTCTTTTGCATCGATGTTTCTCTCCCCCCCCCCCCCCCCCCCCTGCTCTATCTGAAGATAAATGCAAAAATGTCCTCGGGTGAGGATTAAAAAAAATGCAAATCTTTTAATTTTTCTTTTAATTTGTATCACAGCAATTTTTTGGAGGTAATATGAACTATTGTTAAAAGCATGCTCTTTGGAATTAGAAAGATTTAGATTTAAATCTCAATTGGACAACTTACTAGCTAGGTGTTGTGGCAAAATTCCTTACCCTGTCTTTTAAGTCTCAGTTTGCTGATCTGTAAAATGGAATAACAGGGCCTATTTCATAGGATGCTGTGAAAATCATGGTGATTTCTGTTAAGGGCTTAACACAGTATTTAGTACACAGGACTATTTTTAATGTAAGAAACTATCTGCTAATGATAGATTTTCATATACTGTTTTGATCATCTGTATCATAAATTCATGATAATGAAGAGGCAGAATTAGAAGTATGGCTTTGAAAGGGACCACATGGCCCCAGACACTGTGGAAGGTGCTATATTTGGATGGTAATTCTGTCATCAGGATATTCTTTAACATAATTTGTGTATTAAAATGACCGTTTGGAAGAAAAGAGCAAATGTTTGTTCCTCTGGAATGTCTCAGGAATTCTTGACATGCTGAGCACTCTGCTGTCTGCCTGTCACCTCCCACCACTGCATTCCTGGACAGGTGGGCTGCTGCAGAGGGGGGTCGGTCCTCCCAGTGCTCACTGACAGGACTGCCACCAGTTTGTTGTAACCAATAGCTGTATTGATTCTCCAGGAAATAATGTACACTTTAACTAAGTTTTTTTCTCCCTAGCAAATTTAAAAAAAGGATTCTGATTTTTCAAAGCTACATTAAAAATCACACTCTAGTAAAAACATTCCCTGAAACATCTAGCTAAGGAACGAACTAACAATACTGGTAATTTTTTACTGATTATCACGTGTGAATTACCTAATCATTATATGAAGGGTTTCTTCTTCAGGCCTCCCAACAGGTATGGTGAAGCCTCCTACCTCCTACTTCCACACAGGTTGCTCATTCTGCTCTCTGCATTTTCTTTAACCAGGCCTATAACTTTGTTGCCTTGTTTTTATTATTATTCAGGCTCTGAGCTTTAATCCTCTCACTATTTCTTGAATAAAATAAGATGATCTCCCTGACTATTTGTCCTTTTGCACTCTAACAAAACAGATGATATTTATCTTTTTATTCACCCACTCTTTCCTTCATGCTTCCACAATCCTCAATGTGTGTGTGTGTGTGTGTGTGTGTGTGTGTGTAGTTATGTATACCTACATCATTTTATTCCAATTATGATTGTGAGGACTGCCTCCTTGAGGGCAGAAATCCAGTCTTATTCTACTCATCTCCTTGCAAAATATAGCCTTGTGCTTGGTATACACTATGATTAATTGCATGTTTGGTGAATAAACTCTATGCACTGGAGAGGCATTCTTTGAAACAGCAGAAAAAAAGTTATGTTATATGGAGATTTAAAGAGGTTTAATTCTGTACTAGAAATTGACTTTGAAAAGCCACATATTAAACTTGTTTCCATCACAGAAAATTGAAATTCTACCTTTGTAAAATCTCCATCTAGATTTCATTTATTTATAACTATTCTAATTTGGAATATGTAGTAATGTATACTGTACTCTCCCTATTCATTAGTCTACTAGAAAAAAGATTTCTCGCAAACTTATAGTGTTTATAAGTAACATTTAAAGTAGAATATTTATATTGTTTAAGATAATTTTCTAGAATTTATAAGCACTTTTAGAAGATTGTATTCATAGAAGAGCAAATGGTTTGTAAATTTAACATCACATCTTAAATATGTGTGTACTAATTCCGCCAACATAATCTACTAGGCAGGATGGGGCGCAAATGGCTTCTGTTTCTGTATATGTGGGGAAAATACCCATTACTCCTGCTAAAGTTATTCTAATTCAGTTGGATCTTCCCCACAATTCCTCACAACATCAAAATTTTATCAGTTATCCACTCTCCTCAACACTTTGCCTTACCTCACCTTATAAGGTAATGTCTAAATTTTAATTAACCCAGAAGTTGATTGAATGTAGCTAACCCACTTTCACCCAGAACTTGCATTTATAAGCACAACAGTGAGCATAAAGAAATAAATTATGGGGAAAATAAAGATTCTTTACTTAATAAAAGCATTCATCTTATTATTCTAATCAAAAGTAGGCCTTATTCAGAATTGAACATACATACTGCCTTTCAGAAGCACCTGTTCCTAATATACGGTGACAGAAGATGATTCGACTGTGGGTGGCGGGCACACAGTGCAATATACAGATCTTGTATCATAGAAATCTACACCTGAAACTCATTTGATCCTATTAACCAGTGTTATCTCAATAAATCTAGTTAAAAAAACTTCAGGAAGCACATGTTATCAAGTGAGAGATGGGTTTGTTTGGTGACATTTTTTCTCTGAGGCATAGCTCTGGCCTTTATTAACATGCTCACATTCAGACAAAAATAAGATATTTCACTAGAAAGAGGATAGTTGGAATACTTTGTTTTTCATTATTTTGGATGACTTTCAATCTTGATCATTCTAGAACTCCTGAGTGAATTCAGTGGCCTTGTGACTTGAGAGTAATAAACAGAGGTTTCTCTCAAGATAAGGCTGGAACAATCAGGACCAAAACTTGTATCAGGCTCTGCCAACTGAGCCTATCAAACCAACTCCTGTCCTCTTTGGTGTCCCAGCAAATGGTAAATACTTTATGAGAAACACAAAAAGAGAAAGAGAGAATAGTCCCTCATGTATGGAGGGATGAGATTTAAATAAATGCTCAAGATTTCTAGCTACAGCCTGTATTTTACTTCTGTACCTATCAGCTAAAATCTGAGGTTGACGTTGTTCTCTCAGGTTGTCAGCAAACTGGCTTCTGAAAGCAACTAGCCAGTCTTCATTCCTCCTTCTTCTGCAATCTGCACAATGATGCACTAATTTTTCACACTTCTTTTCAGAGGTTCTAGTCCTAAGGTTTGCTGTTTGGTTGTCAACTTTAGGATTTTACGGAAGAGAAAGTGAATAGAATAAAAAACCAATGAATTTTTCAAAGAGTTCTGTTGTTAATTGGATTTATTGCAAAATAAGTGTTTCTATTACCTAAATTACTGGCTTTATTACTAATGACATAAAGTTATGGAAGTGGATATTTTAATTCACCTAGTTAATGAAATAAGAATAGTTTTAGTAAATGAGATACCAAAGAATATTTTTACTCTGTACTCTTGGGGCACTTGAAGACAAAGTGCCCATATATATGATACCACCAATGCCGACTCTTTATTATGTGTGGTCATTTGCATTTTTTATCTCCCCAGCTAGGTGATGTGCATCTAAGATAGGGCCATTTCACAGTGCCCATCTTGAGTCTTTTGTGGTATGTAAATATATTATGAAATCTGGTGATGTACAATATCATTCTTCAACATGTTGATCTTTTAAGTAGATTTATATTTGAAGAAATTTATATTTTAATGTTCTTTTCACCATACATTGTTGTGACTACTTTCACTTCATTTAGTAAATATCTACTGAGGGTCCTTTAATGTGTAAGGCTCCAACATAGGTATATGTGGATACCTTGGTGATTGATACAGGGACCCCAGGCCTGAGGAACTGACACCTCTGGCCAGGGAGATAAGACAAGCAGGCAGCTAGAGGGCTGGGAGGCAAGTGTCAGGAAGCGGCAGCTGTCAGAAAGGGTGATGGGGATTCAGGAGAAGGGAGTTACTTTTAGCAGGGAAGTTGGCACTTACGGGCAAGTTTGTGGAGGAGGTGGCTCTTGAGCTGAGCTCTCAATTGTGTGTTTGAGAGAAAGATTTCAGGTAAACGTTGAATTAATTCTAACAAAGAATGAAATTAATGGCTATATGTTTGAACCTAAAGCAAAGGTTGAGCACCAGCTGAAGACCCTCATCAACCTCCAAATCCACTGGCAGCAACATTTGGTATAAACACCAAATGGTTTGATTTGCAATAGACATCCATGAGCATACCTGAAGACCACTGTCCACTATCCGATGACACAATTTTCCAGTTACAAAACAGCTCAGTGTTTAACATACCAAGAGACCATTTTTAATAAAAACAAGAGTGATAACATTGAAGTACCCACCTATTTATTATTAGATATACGCGCCCACTGACTTTGGCGTGGCTACAAGGCGAGAGGTAGAAGCACAAGGTTGCATGCGGTGGTAATGGAGAGACAGGGTGGAGAGAGAAAGAGGAGACTGTTAGACAGAGACGAATAAAGTAGACTGTGTCTTGTAAGCTTTCCATCATCAGGTATGTCATCAACACATGTTTCATGTATTGAAGAACTGTCTAGACAGCAAGATTCAGTAGCAACATGAAATTAGACATATTCAGGAAAAATGCTTGAATATAACAAGGCCCTCCATTCTTCTCATCCATTCCCATCTCATACACGTATTAAAAATTTGTAATGTTTAAATTTTCAGAGTACACTTATCAAATAAAATACAATATTAAGGGTTAATTCTTGCTCTTTTCTCAGAATTAAAAAAATTAAATTCTACTAAGTGACTATATTTAACATTATTCTCTGTTTTTCTAAAACAGAAACAAAAAAAATTTATTTTATTTCTAGATGAATCATAATACTTTCTAAAACAAATTAAAAATAAATTGCAGTGATGAGTATTTAAATAAGTAATGAATACATTTTTATCAAGTATATATTATATCAGAATTATAATTGTGGTATAATATTACAAATTTTTATCAATATATAAGTGAAATTATAGTCCTGAGAATACCAACTTACACATAATAATACTATCTTCTTATATATATCATAAAACTTTTTCATAATATTAAATTCACAAATTCTGTATGGCTAAACTCAATAAATCTTGCTCCAGACATGTGACATTTTTCTACACTACCTATGTGTACAATGCACATAGCATACACACAATGAACAAAACAGGGCAAGGACAGTTGGACATTTACAGTAATAATAGTGCTTGCACCAACTTAAGGAACACAATGATTTCATTATTCCCCAATTTGTAGGCCCTCTTTATTAAAGCATCTATGAAAGAGGTGAGAGAGAGAAAGCAATGCATGACAGTTCATCCCAATTCTGAATATATTTCTTTTTCATCATTTCAAATTTAACATAGTCAATGATTAAGACTCCAGAGACAAAAGAATAAAAAAATAAAAACTGTGAGGTGAATATTATTAGTAAGAAAAATACTTCAATGGGAAAGATTTGCTAAAACGATGGGATATGTAGCACATGTTTGAGATTAAAATTTGGGGATTTTTATATTAAACTCTTGCATCAAATCCCCAAATACTAAACTGGAATGAATCCTTCAAATTCCTTACAGTTCCAGAAGACTTTTTCCTCCCACAGAATTAAAAATAAAATTCCATGTACTTAAACTCTTCAGATAGCTTACATTATATACTCTCTCCTCATCTTTTCAATTTTATTGGAAAATTAACTGTTAAGGGAGTGTTTAAGGATAAACCAAAGCTGCGAGGTGACCTCCAACTGCTCCAGATCTTCTCCTGTTATGGAGTATAAGGGCTGTACATGTTGCAGCTGAGGAAACAGGGAAAATGCCTTTTGACATGAGGCTCTACTCCTTTCCCAAACCTACAGGATTAAATATTCTACAATGGACAAATTTCTAGAAACACATAGTCTCCCAAAACTGAACTGGGAAGAGATGGAAAATTTGAACAGACCAATAACAACAAAAGAAATTGAAGATGTAATCAAGATTCTCCCAACAAACAAAAGCCCAGGCCCAGACGGCTTCACAGAGGAATTTTGCCAAACATTTAAGGAAGAACTAATATACATTCTCCTCAAACTATTTCAAAAAATTCAAGAAGAAGAAAGACTTCCAAACTCATTTTATGAGGCCAGCATAATTCTAATTCCAAAACCAGAAAAAGACACTACAAAGAAAGAAAGCTACAGACCAATATTCCTGATGAACATAGATGCCAAAATCCTGAACAAAATACTAGCAAATCAGATCCAACTATACATCAAAAAAAAAAAAAAAAAAATTATTCACTATGACCAAGTGGGATTCATCCCAGGGATGCAAGGCTGGTACAATATTTGCGAATCAATAATGTGATACACCACATAAACAAAATGAAAGATAAAAATTATATGATCATATCAATAGATGCTGAAAAAGCATTCAACAAAATCCAGCACCCATTTCTGATAAAAATGCTCAGCAATCTGGGAATAGATGGATCATATCTCAACATAATAAAGGCTATATATGAAAAACCTACAGCCAACATCATACTCAATGGGCAAAAATTAAAAGCATTTCCCTTAAGAACAGGAACAAGGCAAGGATGTCCACTCTCACCACTCTTATTTAACATAGTACTGGAAGTCTTAAGCACAGCAATGAGACAGGAAGAAAGAATAAAAGGAATCCAAATTGGCAAGGAGGAAGTGAAACTGTCATTATTCGCAGATGACATGATATACTATACGTAAAAAATGCCAAGACTCCATCAAAAATTTACTAGACTTAATAAATGAATTTGGCAAAGTAGCAGGATACAAAATTAACATCAAGCAATTGATGGCATTCTTATACACCAATAATGAACTCACAGAAAGAGACACTAAAAAACAATCCCATTTACCATTGTGACAAAAACATTAAGATACCTAGGAATAAACTTAACCAAAGAAATAAAGGACCCATTTGCAGAAAACTACAGGTCATTGAAAAAAGAAATAGAGGAAGATATTAAAAAGTGGAAGCACAGACCTTGTTTATGAATTGGAAGAATTAACATCATTAAAAAGTCCATATTACCCAAAGCAATCTATAGATTCAATGCAATCCCCATCAAAATACCAACGACATACTTCACCTAACTAGAACAAATACTTCAAAAGTTCATATGGAACCAGAAAAGACCTTGAATAGTCACAGCAATCTTGAAAAAGAAGAACAAAGTTAGAGGTATCACATTACCAGATTTCAGGTTATATTACAAAGCCACTGTAATCAAAACAGCCTGGTACTGGCACAAGAACAGGCATATCGACCAGTGGAACAGAACAGAGAACCCAGAAATAGACCCAAGGCAATATGCTCAATTAATATTTGACAAAGTGACAAGAGCATTCAATGGAGTAGACAGCCTCTTTAATAAATGGTATTGGGAAAATTGGACAGCTACATGCAAAAAAATGAAACTAGACCATCAACTTACACCCTACACAAAAATAAACTCAAAATGGATAAAAGACTTAAATGTGAATCATGAATCCATAAAAATCCTAGAAGAAACTGTAGGCAACAAAATTTCAGACATCATACACAGCAGAATTTTTAGATACATCACTTAGAGGCAACAGAAACAAAGGAGAAAATGAATACATGGGACTACATCAAACTCAAAAGCTTCTGCACAGTAAAAGATACAATCATCAAAATGGAAAGGCTACCCACTGTATGGGAGAGCATAATTGCCAATGATATATCCGATAAGGGGTTAATTTCCAATATATACAGAGTGCTCATATAACTCAACAAAAAGAAGAGAAAGAACCCAATTAAAAAATGGACCTTAACAGACACCTCTCCAAAGAGAACATACAAATGGTCAAGAGACATATGAAGAAATGCTCAACACAACTAAGCAACAGAGAGATGCAAATTAAAACAATGAGGTATCACCTCACACCTGTCAGAATGGCTGCCATCAACAAATCATCAAACAACAAGTGTTGGCAAGGGTGTGGAGAAAAGAGGACTCTAGTACACTGCTGGTGGGAATGCAGTCTGGTGCAGCCACTGTGGAAAACACTATGGTGTTACCTCAAAAAGTTAAAAATTGAACTGCATTTGACCCAGTGATCCCACATCTAGAAATATAGCTTAAGAAACCTGAAACACCAATCAGAAATATGTACCCCTATGTTCCTAGCAGCACTATTTACAATAGCTAAAATCTGGAAACTTCTCTTTTTCTTACAGTTTTACTTTTATTTTTTTTAACAGTTATTCTATAAGTACAAATGACATACATTATATTAGTTTCAGGTGTACAACATAGTGATAAGACATTTATATACCTTCCAAAGTGATCACCCCCATTAGCCTAATAACTACTTTATGTTTCTGAATGTATTATCATCGAAGGCAGCCACTTACCCCATTCACACCCTTCTCCTAATGAGGCATTGAGAGGAGATAGGTTTTAGCTGAAATTTACTATTTCACTTATCTTAGTAAGTGAGAAGATAGGATAAGAAAAAATAATGTCTGGCTGATGCCTCTTGGTTCTATGGGTTGGGGGCCACTGACACACTACACTGACAGTCATCTGCTCAGAATGAAAATTTAATGTGGTCAATAAGACAAAAGAAAAATAAATACTAAGTAAATATATTAAAATTATAAAATGTTTTTCATCATGAAATAAAAGTGTTTTTGAGTTATGCAAAATTCCAGCTCATTCTACAGCAGAATATTGACAGTTTGGTATTTCATAAACAGTGCATGATGAAATACTGTTTCATCTTCTTTTGATGTATTCATTTTTTCCTTTGAAAAAGAGTTAAGGAAAATTTTCAACTGTAACATCTGTACTCCTTAATCAGGCCTTGGCTTCCTTAGTTACTGAACAAGTGTCTTTCCAAAAACTGAATCATAGGCTAACAATGAAGCAGAAAAGAAAATCAGTATTGACATTTATTAGAAGAATGATGGCAATTTTCCTGTGATACAGCAGACTGAGGGATTTGTAATAATTCATTGTGGTTTCAACACACATTGGCAGAGAGAGCAGTATTCCCTCTGTTACTTGTAAACATTTTATATTTATTGTTGTGAAGACACCAGAATGTTGATAAAAGATGTTGTCTTCACTTTCTCTTCTTAAATGTTATTCTAGTTACCAGTAGATTGTGGATCTTACCCTGTTAGCTAAAGTTCATTCCCAAAACCAAAGGGGAAATTTTGCCCATCATCTTTTGGCATGCTCTCACAGGGACTTCCTTACTGGTTGTCAGCACAATAGAAAACATCCTTTGAATTAGCTAGACACAAAATATACATCACCAACTCTAAAGTATTTTAGTTTACACAGCTACTCTGAGTCTGCTCAACAACTATCAAAGGTCACTTTACATTAATCAGTTGTAAGTCATTAGTTTCAAAGAGTGTCATCAAATATTCCACATTCTTTTCTTTCTTTTTTCCACTCACAGGTTGATATTCATGCAAAGTTCAACGTTGAAACTAAGAGTATTGGCTTCTTGCAAGGTGGCCAGGAAGGGAATTAAGGCTGCTTTCCTGATAACAAGAGGCAGGTGTTTCTTGCGCTCACTCACCTGTAGATGGGGCTGTCTTCCTTGCTGGGAATGGACTTCAGGTCTGTGAGTTCCAGGAACTGATCATGGAAATAGTGAAGGTGTAAAATGCACACCAGCAGAAAGGATGTTGGGATGAATATGCGAGTGAACAGTTCAGCCACAGTGAACTGTTTTAAGCCGAGATCCTCAAGCCTGTAAAAAACAAAAAACAAATACCTGAAAAACAAGGCCCTTTCTTAGGCAATGAAGACACATTATATGACATCACAGTCTTTCACCTTCATCAGGTGCCCAGCTGTCCCATTTACCTGCTTTCACAGTGGTCAATAACAACCTTGATATGGTCAAATTCAATGGCTGCTTCTTTATTTTTGTTTAATTTTGCCTCTAGTCCTTCTTGAAACAATCCTGGTCTTCATGCCCCCACATTGTCCTGGTTATCCTCTTCTGTCTCTACCTCCTGCCTTTCTATTGGACCTCCAGACACTGAAATGCCCCCAGGCCTCAGTGTTGAGTCCTCCTGGAGCTTAGTTTTCCCCTAGGAAATCTCACCTCTCCTGGGGATATAAAAACTATCCTTACATTAATGACTCAAATGGTTGCATTTAAAGCTCAGGCTTTTTTCTGTGGATTCTTGTACTGAAATGTCTACTGGATGTTTGTTATTTCAAAGGTATTTCATATTTAGTGTTTCAAAACAGTATTCTTTGGGGGGGGGGCATCTGTAATACTTTCAACAATAAGGATAAAAAACAACGCAACAAAAAACAGTATTCTTAAAATCCCTGCTTTCCTTAGCCAAGCTGTTCTCCACCTCCTCTATCCACTCAAGTCTCCTCTGGTACAACAGTCTAGCCTGTGCCAAATTCCAAAGTCAGAAAGTTTGCCTTCAAATCTCGTTCATTCACATTCCCTCACTGCCTAAACATCTCCTGACTCTGTGCACCTCTGTCGCCCATCTCTACAGCCACCGTTTCCAGGGGGAGCCACCAGCATCTCTCACAGGGTCTCTGCTCTTGCTCACTGAGCAGTTCTCTTATTTCTGCTCTTGCCTCCTAACACATAATTTTTCTCAGCTGGTCAGGGGTGCTTTAAAGATTTGTAAAAATTTCACTGAGAATGAAATACCAACCACTACTACCAATAAGCCATCAAGTCCTGGGTGCCGAGCTGACCTCTTCCACCTCTTCTCCTTCTACCCCCCACTCCCTTACTCCTGGCAGGACAGCCTTCCTTCAGCTCCCCATATGTGCCAATCTCTGTCCTGCCTCAAGGCTTTATCCTTTAGGTGGGATTTAAATGACACCTCCTCAGTGAAGCCTGCCCTGACCACTACATTTATATTTGGTGTACCTTATTGTTCACTACCTCAGCCTGTTTTTATTTCCTTCACACTCTTATCACAATTTACAATTAATTCATTTGTATATTAAGTCTATTTTTGGTTTGTCTCCTCTACTAGAATATGAAATGCTAAGGACTTATATTCTGTCCGTCTTGCTTCCTGTTGTGTTCTCAGGCACAGAAGAGCGTCTGGCACATGGAGGCCATTCAGTAAGTATTTGTTGAATAAATATTAAATATGTGTTAGTCTAGCTACATGTTGATCCTTTTCTTTTCATCTTTTCTCTTAGCCACCAAAGTATTATTTACTCTATGCACAATTCTGGTTGGATTTCTAAACTAATTTCAGATATTTCAAGAAACAGAAAAGGAGACAGTATGGTCTCCTGCACAAGAAAAAGTATTTCTTAAACACTAATCTATAAGCACTTAAAGAAATTTCTTTCAATGTGGCATCAACTGCTCTTTAAAATCTTAGCACAAGCTACATCACAGAGGAGAAGCTGCTGCTTTATGAGTCCATGAACCTACTGAAGAGCTGAAGAACTGAGCTCCAACTTGGAAAACAGAAAACATGACTGGTTAAGTACTAAGCAGGTGTGTTTCACATGAAATTGACATTAGAAAATGTTATTTCATTAAAACGGAACTGAAACTTTGCTTTTCAGTCAATATTCACAGAGTCCTTACTATGTGCCAAGATCAGGGCTAGATAGAAAGAATACAAAATAACCACGACACAAATCCTGTTCTCAAGGAACTTATAGACATTGATGACATCATGTTTTACTAAAATCTTCCATAAAAATGTTTTGAACAATGTGCATTCAAGTCTTCATCCTATTTGTCACTTTTAAATTCCATTATACACCAAAACTGCTTACTTTTCTTTTTTCAATCCAGTCATATTTTGCCACAGGCCTGGGAAGTTTTCAAATTGATATGTGTATATAAAGATAAGCACCAACATAGTGTAAATAACCACAGACATCCAAAAATATTTTAGAATTTTCCTCCACCATTCATAGTGCACCTGTCAATCAGACATTGAAAAACAAGCAAGAAAAAAAAAATCGGTTATAGAATAAAAACTTGCAAAAGTATCTGGTTTATTAAACTAAGACAGATGATAATATTTACAATACTTGAAAATAAATTTTAGTTTTTGAGGTTCTGTTCTTCATAGAGTTGAATTGATATGGATTGGAATACCAATGCTACCAGAAGTTGCTAACTGTGTGTTTCAGCAAGTTGCGGGACTATACCAAGCTTCTGTTTCCTCCTCCATAAGTAACTACTTTGAGAGTTTTTAAGAAGGTAAAATAATGTTTATAAGGCTCTTAGCATGAGCTATGGTCTACAGGAGTCACTCAAAGAACAGTATGACAGACATTGCCATCATTTTGTTTATTGCTTGGAAAAAACGGCCTCCGTTTTGAAATTCAGAGTGGTACTCTATGATTAACAATATGAAACCACCACAGAGAGAAGACATCTCTCTTTACCATAAGCCTGTATATATTCATTAGAGAACACCTCCCTGAATTTTTATTATTTATTTATTTATTTTTTAAATCCTCATCCGAGGATATTTTTTTATTTATCTTCAGATGGAGTGGGAGGGAGGAGGGAGGAAAGGAGAGGGAGAGGGGGAGGGGGAGGGGGAAGGGGAAGGAGAGGAAGAAACATTGATGTAAGCAAGACACATCAATTGTTTGCCTTCTGCATGACCCCAACCACGGCTGGGGGCTGAACTGCAACTGAGGTACATGCCCTTGACTGGAACCCAACCCGCACCTCTTTGGTCTGTGAGCCGACACTCTAACCTCTGAGCCAAAGCGGCCAGGGCTATTTATTTATTTTTAATGTGTTTTTATTGATTTTTTTAGAGTGAGAGTAAGGGAGAGATAGAAACATTGATGTAAGGGAGAAACATTGACTGGCTGCCTCTTGTACACTGGGGATTGAGCCTGCAACCCAGGCATGTGCCCTGACCAGAACCTCTCAGTTTATGGGATGAAGCCCAACCACTGAACCGCAGCAGCTGGGTTCAACTGAGATATTTTATCTTCACATGTAATACACTCTTGTTTATTATAGTTGCTTTGTGTGTTTTGTTGATTGCCTGAGAGAATATTTTACTATGCACTTGTTTCTATCATTGAATTAAAATTTCTATCATCAGTTAAAACTGAATTTGTTGAGAGGCTGATTCATTATAATATAATCTTCCATACATTATAATTAATGAAGTACTAAAGTAGTTGATGAATTACACATGTATATGTATACATACCCCAATAGTTCTCTGATTCCAAAGCCTAGAACAAGGGAACTGAGTATCATCTAGTATCTGAGGCTATTCAGACACTGTACTTAGATTACTATTAAGTTTAATTTAATTATATAGGCTTTTTTTCATCAATACTTTTTGAAAAACTCATGAACTTTTTCTTTTTACTTTTTAAGAACTTAAAATTTTAAAATAATGAACAAGCTGAAAATAGCCACTCTCCATTTTAGAATTCTTAATATATAATGCTTGAACTGCATATCACTTAAATGATATGTTCATGGGATTATTGTACTTTGGAATGTCATCAAAGGAAGCTCACATATATTCCTGGGATGGGGGTGAGTATTAAAAATAGAGGACCATTGTTTACCCACCTGATACAAGGCCACACAGAACAGAAACAGCACCATGTAGATGATTTTGTACATCACAATTTTACCCTCGAAGCTGACAAAGAAGAACATTCCTCCACAAACATAGATCCAGTACTTAATGAATATGGCCACCACCAAATTGCCCAGCACTTTCATGATGTCCTGTTCATCGTCTTCCACTTCTTCCTCCTCTTCCTTCAAACTCTCATGCTTCTCTTCACTCTCTTCCTCTTCTTCCTCCTTCTCTTCAGCCTCTCCTTCTACTTGTATGTCTTGTTCGTCATCTTCAAAATAAAGGACTGTGCTGTTATACCAGGCTGATTCCCTGAGCAAAACTACACTCTGACAAATTGTTGAGTGTAGGACATAGAAGCATGTATTTTATGTGTTATTATATGATTTGAATGATTTTAGACTGTTCTAGTAAACAAGGCAGCATGTATAACTAATCACAGTCAATTTTTATAACCTTTCTGAGTTATGTTTTAAAAGAAATAAATTTGGCAATATTTTATACTAATCTTTTTATAACACCTATTTCATTTCCAATATCCATGATAGCTTTAAGTACAAAAGGTTCTGGAAAAAGAAATAGGCAAAAATAACACATATCGAAACCACTATTTCAATTTTTAATTCTGATTGTTTGGTAGCTCTTATAATGTTTGTTACCTTAGAGAAATCATTTAACTTCTTTCAGTCCCTTCTTCCTTCTTCCCTTAAGTGGGAATCACTGTTGTGAGGAACATATGACACAATATTTTCAAGGCTCCTGTGAACTGTCATGTGTATTGTAAACCTTACATAGGGCAACACTATTTGCTGCTCCAAAGGAGTGTCCAGCTTCCACCTAGTGTGAAGCATAGTGGCTCTTCTGATGTACTTCAGGGGCTCTTTCTTTGTAAGTCTGCTGAGCACAAAAATCTCTGGTCATACACTATACACACTCATTTACCTTTTTCTTCAATTTCCTGAGTTTCAATTTTGACCTCAGATAAAAGAGCTTCCTTTTCTCGAAGAGCTTTTTGCTCTGTCAGGTGCTGCCTCAGCAGTAACCAAAACGTAATGGTGAAAAGTATCTGAAAGTAGAGAATTAGCAAAACAAGAAAGAATTAATTCACCATTTAGAATATACATACATTTCAACAAATACAATATGCTCTCCACATTTCAGTGTAGTGTGTATGTGGGGGGGGGGGTCACTCAATAAACCTTTCTATTTGAGACAGAGTCAAGCACCTGCTTGATTTTGCCTGAAAGTCCCTTGGCTTTTATTTATTATTTTTTTTTATCCTCACCGGAGGACATTTCTCCGGATAATTTTTCCATTTTTTGTTCAGGTAGACTGGGAGGGAGAAAGAGGAACAGAGAGAGAGAGAGAGAAACATCGATGTGAAGGGACACATCGAGTGGTTGCCACCCGCACGACCGACCAGGGCCGGGGACAAACTACAACCGAGGTACGCGCCCTTAGCGGGAACCGAACCCGGGTCTCTCAGGACCGCAGGTCGACGCTCTAACCGCTGAGCCAAACCGGCCAGGGCGTCCCTTGGCTTTTAAACCTACCTCCCTTTTTTTGTTATTGTTATTGTTTTTAATCCTCACCCAAGGATATTTTTCCATTGATTTTTAGATAGAGTCGAAGGGAGGGAGGGAGAGAGAGAGAGAGAGACATTGATGTGAGAGAGAGACATCAGTTGGTTGCCTCCCACATGACCCAACAGGGTCTGAGAATCAAACCTGCAACCCACGTACGTGCCCTTAATCGGGAATTGAACCCTCAACCCTTTGGTCCATGGGCTGATGCTCTAACTGCTAAGCCAAACCAGCCAGGGCATGATGTATATATTAATATTTGTAAATTAATGTTTTCGTGAGGGCTAGGAAATAAACACATGATTTTAGGGATTCGTTCTTCTGGAAATAGAGAGCGTGGCACATAATAGTTTTTTGTGCTGGTTTTATTGAGATATAATTTACATGCCATACAATTCACCCATTTAAAGTGTACATTTGAATGGTTTTTAGTATATTCAGAGTTGTACAACCCTCACAGGAATCAATTCTAGAATATTTCATCACCCCAAACAGAAGCCCCATAACAGGCATCCCCTTTTCTTCCCACCTCAGCCCTAGCCCATCACTAGTTTACTTTGTCTTCTATAGATTGCCTAATCAGAACATTTTATATAAATGGAATTACATATGCATTCTTTTAAAAATAGCTTTTCTTAAGTTGAACTGCCATTTTACCCAGTGATTCCACTTCTAGGAATATACCCTAAGAAGCCTGAAACACCAATGTTCCCAAGCCTGTACCCTCATGTTCATAGCAGCACAATTTACAATAGCTAAGATTTGGAAACAGCCCAAATGTCCATCAGTAGACGAATGGATAAAAAAGCTGTGGTACCTATGGAACATATACAGAATGGAGTACTATGCAGCTGTATGAAAGAAAGATCTCTTATCCTTTGAGATGACATGGAGGGACCTGGAAAGTATTATCCTAAGCAAAACAAGCCAAGCGGAGAAAGACAAATATCACATAATCTCACTTATTTGTGGAATATAATGAACATAACAGTCTGAGGAATAGGGTAGTCCCAGAGACGTGGAGGTGTGGTACAGACTGACAATTTCCAAAGACAGGGTGGTAGGGGAGAGATAAACCACAGAACTTATATGCATGGATGCATGAACAATGGACATGGACAACAAAGCTGGGGACAGGGTGAGGAGGAAGGGGGGGAATCACTGGGGGGAAAAGGAGAAACATCTGTAACAAAAATAAATTAATTCATAAAAATAATAAAATAATTAAAAAAAAAAACATAAAATAGCTTTTCTTGCTTCATAATGTTTTTAAGGTTTATCCATGTTGTAGCATGTATTGGTACTTCATTCCATTTTATTACCAAATAATATTCAAGTGTACAAATAGACATTTTACTTGTTCATCAGTTGATAGACCTTTAAGTTGTTACTATTTTTGTGTGTTGCTATTATAAATAACACAACTATGAGGATTCAAGTACAAGGTTACTCTCAATTTTATCGAGAAAATATAGTTTGACATTACTCTTGGCCAAATTATCTATAAAGATAAAATATATTTACATCTGACCTATTAGTAATAACCTATCTGCCCATAACATATGACCAATACACTTCAATTAGGATTACTCGATTAAAGTAATCAACTATGCGTACTGAATAAGCATCCATTATGATTCCAGAGCTATTCATTTAAAGAAATAGCTCTTTTTTTTTTTTTTTTATCCTCACCCGAGGATATTTTTCCATTTTTTGTACAGATAGAATGGGAGGGAGAGAGAGGAAGGGAGAGAGAGTGAGAAACATCGACGTGAAGGGACACATCGAGTGGCTGCCACCCGCACGACCAACCAGGGCCGGGGACAAACTGCAACCAAGGTACATGCCCTTAGCGGGAACCGAACCCGGGTCTCTCCGGACCGCAGGCCGACGCTCTAACCGCTGAGCCAAACTGGCCAGGGCAAGAAATAGCTCTTGATAAAAATTTACTTTGTTGAATTTATTGGGGTGACACTGGTCAAGTACAACTTTTTGTGTAGATGCAGGTTTTCAGTTCTCCTGGGTACATATACCTAGAAGTGGAATCATGTGGTTTTATGGTATTCTGTTTAACATTTTGAGGAACTTCCAGATATTTCCAAAGTAACTGCACCATTTTACATTTTCACCAGCTGTATATGATGTTTCCAATTTCTCTACTTCTTCATTAACACTTTTTAATGTCTGTTTCTGTTTTTTTTTTTTATTCTAGTTGGATTTTAATAAATATTTATCAAAGAGACAAAAAAATAAATAGGCAAATCAGTGGGTCATTTTCACTTTGAATAACTGCCCAGTTAAATATCCACTTATCATTTACTTCAACATAAACCAGTGCCAATAAGTACTGGCAACATTCTTAAGACCTAATGAAATCAAGAACCAGCATGCCTATACTTTTGAAAACTTGGAAGTAAACTTCTAGAGGTTACAACAAATTGAACTGTAGCTGCAAGCTGGGAAAGAAATCTGTTTCTCTAACGCACATGCAGAGTGTGTAGGAATAATTGGGGGCAGATGGGACATCTTTCCCAGGGAAGGTGAGTTAAAAGCCAGGTTTTGAAGGTGGTACTTGATGTAGTTTGGTGGAGTCAGGAACGAGATGCTCTGGGAGCTGAAGAATGCTGCAAAGAAGCTGCATCTGGCCCCACCAGCAGTGTTCAGACCTCTGAGAACCCAGGCCATATTATTTTTTCCTCTCATTTTTTATCACAGTGACCCATCTGGTACTTTGTTAACGGTGTGTGCTTTGACCAATGTTGCTGTGATAGAGATTTTATAATCTTGTAGTTCTATTATTACCTATGACAAAGGCTTGCATTTTATTTATTCTTGTGAGTTCCTGGGTATAATATAAGTGTAGACCTTAGTTTTCTCAGAATAACATTTTGCATAAGTAATACATTTATTTTCCCCAAAATATCCCCCTTCCGCAAAGAACTGTTAATTTTAGATCAGACAGGAGGTAGTTCAACTAGTTAGATGACATGCATTTTTAGAAGTCTCACCAGTATTTAAGCCAGGTTGTAATGGATTTACACATAGAGTAAGCAGTTAGATCATTAACAAAAGAAGAAGGAATTATCATAACAGCCATGGAGATTGGGGAGATGGTAACCTGCAATGTTCAACCAGATTAACAGGGAGTGGGAGAGAATCCTTTTACTAAGAACAGAAGACAAAATGGTGACCGTAAAAGGAGAAGGAAGGGCAACTCCTGGGAGAATTTTGGAAAATGATTGGATAGGGCAAGGGCACAAACTCCTGGAAAACTCAAGAAAGAGAATGGATAGGGGAAGGGCACAGGCACAAGCCTGGAAAATGCCAGGAAGGAGATTGGGTAGTTTGAAAAAAAGCCTGTGCCTTCCTGAGCCCTCCTTGGAGCACGCCCGTGCCCTTCCTTCTCTCTGGCACATAATTTTTGCCTTTGTTTCTCCTAAACTCCAAGGGTCCCATGAGACCTGCAACCAGGAGAGCAACAAGCAACGCAAAGGTCTCTCCTTTTGCCTCTGTAACTTCCTTTCCTGAGTCCACGTGGCTGCTACCCTATAGCTTGCCTGCTGTCTCTCCCTCTCTGAGACTGTACTGCCACTTGTCACTTTTCGCTCTAATAAATCTTTGCACTGTCACTTAAAACTCCTCCTATGTGAGTGCCCCTGAAATTCTTTGCCTGCCACTAAAGGACCCATTTCCTCTGGTAACAAAAGGGATAAGGTTTTGTATAACTCTAATAAGACTGACTTACCAGGTTTGTGTGTGTGTGTTTAGGGGAAAGACAGAAAGGGAGAGAATAAAAAAAAGTGTGTCAGCCCAGCTGGTGTGGCTCAGTGGTTGAGTGTTGACCCATACACCAAGAGGTCGCTGGTTTGATTCTTGTTAAGGGTACATGCCCACGTTATGGGTCCGATCTCCAGTGGGGGGCATGCAGGAGGTGGCCAATTAATGTTTCCATCTCTCTCCCTCTCCCATCCTCTCTCTCTAAAATCAATAAAGAAAAAAATTATTAGAAAAGAAAAGAGTGTCAGATAAAGGTGATTTATGTGTGAGAGTATTATGTGGGACTTTTAGAGTAGGCTTTGAAGAGAAGGTGACAGTAGGGTAGGCATGGGAGTTTTATATGAATGAAGAAATAAATGAATGAATGAAGTTGTCATTGTCCATGAATGGGGATTATGATACAATTCTGTTATTAGCATTCACTTGTTAGGATTTTTCTTTTACCCCAATAGCTTTCATTAAAAAATCTGTTATAAGAACCAATCCTCAGTTTAGTCTACTCTATACCACATTTATTTCTGATTGCCTTTTTTATGGGGTGCCTGGTACCATGAAAAAAGGTGAATTTCATGTAATGTAAATGAAATTCAGAGAACTATTCTCTGCCTAGAGAAGGATTTCAAGACTCATTCCTCATTACACATGGTTACTTTTACTGTCTTAACACAAAGTCATCAACACAAAGAGGATGTATATTTAGAGTGTACTACTCTGTTCACAAAACAAAAAAGTTGGGCACTGAATCTTCTGAAGTAAAAATTATTCAAATAAGCCATAAAAATAAATGGGTAGTGAAAGATTATGAACTTTCTAACTACAGATGAAGGAATATTATATAATCAGCAGAAAAAAGAAAAGCATGTCTTATTTAATTTTTGCAGTGAAAAATCTTAAGGACATAATTGGAGAAAAAATGTTTTAACTAATAATCAGTGAAAACAGCATTGCATCCAGCCTGTTTTGCAAATTAATGCCAAAGTCCTCTAACCTTTTATATATTTTACATTTTATTTTACCACTTATCCATCTAATTTCTACTATACCAGTAAATTTCAACCTTTTTTTTATCACATAGCACACATAAACTAATTACTAAAATTCTGTGTCCCGCCAAACAACATTTTTGTCAATCTAACAAAAAAGTAGGTATAATTTTGATTCATTCACACCAGATGGCTATTGATGCATTGGGTTTCATTCTTTTATTTGACAATCTAAGAGAAGAGAGGTCAGTGCCCCTGATTAAATAGTCAGGTGCATGTTTTAAAAATTCTTGAGGCACATCCATTGAAAATCACTGTACTATACGATCATTTATACTAAAAATAACTTACACTGTATTTTTAATTTGAGTGGAAAGCATTGTCATTTTTAAATAAAATCTAAAAGCATGTTATAATATTTATTTGTTTGCATTTAAATTATAGAGATCTTGAAGCAATATAAATTATTTCTTATAGTTTCTTATCTACTCATTTTTGTAAAGCAGTAAATATTTGGGTCCTATTTTATAAGTTTTTGCTTAGATATGATTATTTTGATTATTGTGGTTATAATGTTTTGTTTTCTTATTTTCCTAGTCACTTACCTTTGAGGCAAGTTCTCCTTGATCTTTCCTTTCCAAAAATCCTGGAATCTTTTTCATTTCCAGATGTGCAAAGCTCCATATATACTGTAATATCAGTAATAGATTTGCATAGACAACCATGAAAGGAGAGCTGATCATAGCATATTTTCTTCTGTTGCGAATCATCCAAAGAGTACATGACCAAATCAACAGCACGAAAGTCAACCAGCTGTGATAGGTGATGCTCCAAGCCTCAAAAAAAGAAGGGGGAGAAAAGTTAATGGTCAATACAAAGTGTAGTTGCCACTCTGGCAAGTTAAAAGTTATTTATAAAGAAAAAGTCAATAATATTCAAAATAGGGAAAGGAGAGAGTTGTGCTGAAATCACAGAGAGAAATCCCAACCTGTGGCATAGGGAGGGAAGAAAAGAGAAAGATTCATTCTGCGAAGAACGTTGCTCTTAAAATTCCTGTAGGGAATAGAGTTAAAGGCAAGGGGGTCTTCGTTCCATGTCCTTTTCTCTCTAGTCCCAAAGGTCGGCATCTTTATCCTGCTTTGCAGTATTAAAAAACAACTTTCCTCTTTCACCAAACTAGCAAACTAGCTCGGAGTCAGCAGTTATTTAAGGGTGCCGAGTGTGGCCCACAGCTGGGCTCCAAAATGGAAGCTGTGCAAATCATCTGGGTAAACGTATGCTTTGCGCTTCAGAGATCACTCTCAGATGATCCAAGAAGATACATATGATAGAAATTGAAAAAATGTACATAAAGAAATTGTATGTTAGGCTTCTGCACACCCCAAACAATAAAGCCAAAATAATTTAAAGACCGCCTCAGCTTCTGTCCTATAAAGGGTAGGATTAAAAAGTCCTCACAGGATTTGGAAAGATGATACATCTTCTTCCATTCACACCAAACTTTCAAAGAATTAGAAATGTATCTCAAAGGGCAGCTACCAGGACTATCTGTAAATCAGGCTCACAGCTATTACTAACTTCAGGGAATCTATCATGTTTTACCATAATCTCTGATACAAAAAATTTTGAAAAAAACCTTTAAAAACATTTTCTAGATATGTTTGGGGCTAATTGTAATTAATCATATTCTTTAATATCATGACTATCAAGAGTTAGTTATAAAATCTGAAATGTTTCACAAGTCTGTTTTGCTTCTGGAAAGTAGGTAAGTATTAAGATAAAAGAATCAGCATGGAACAAACAAATATTTTCTCTCAGTAATTTGCAGATTTGTCCTAAAGCACAGGTATCTCTTTAAGTGGTGAATTATTTAAAATTGTTGGTTAAAACATATAGGCATAAACTGAACATTAAAATTGCATTTATTAAAATTAAGTTAGTGGCTTGGAAATAGCATTTATCAATGTTTAAGTAACATTTAAAGTATTTTTATTAAATAATGTCTTTAATGCATTTATCCTAATGTGAAATGCAGATGTGACTACCATTTCTGTGTGTGTGACTCAGGAAAATAAGCTTCACAGATATCATAACCAGCAGACTTTTTCCTGCACAGTATTCTTTGTTTTGGAAGGTGAGGGTGAAAGAAGAGGAAATACAAGTGATGAGAATTTTTTCAAGCTTTTTTCCTCTTAATTGCCCAAGTTACACATTCCTTCAGCTGTGGGAGTCGGGAAGTAGACTGCATCACCTTACTTCCGAGGTTCAGTGTTTGGATTTTCGAAGAGTTCAGTATACCTGCACTTTGTGTATTTTAATAAATACATATATTGCTGTAACAGAGTTGGCTCTTTGGTATTCTTTCTTCACCTGTGATTAAAAGTCTGCTGCAGTGAGGGCTTCCATGGAAGGCCAGCGCTTGTAAAACATTAATATTGTGGCTCCACTAAGACAGCAGAAATCACCCCACAAAAGGGTACGTCTTTTTTGAAGGATCTGCTCTCTTATGTTGTTTTTGTAATAGACTTTTTTTTCTACAAAATGTGTATTCAAAAAATGTTTAAACCCTATTTCTTTACAAAAAAGGGTCCAAACTTAGCTGGCTTATTTTTAGAAAGAGGGGGGAAAAATGTATACCCTTTTAAGTTAAGAATCAGATTGCATTTTATGTTGTATTTACATGTTTGATATTTTAAAATAAAAATTTTGCTATAGAAATTGATATATAGAAAATATCAAAAAGTACCCAAAGAGTACCCAATTAATATTATTTAGAGAATAGAATATGCAATTGTCAAAAGCGCCATCTTTGATTTAGTGGAGACTGCTGTTCCCCACCCTCTAGTGGTCCTCTAGAAGCTGAAGTTGGGAAACATCTTAACTGAGTGCCTGAGGAAATTATGTTTGGGTATTTTTCCCCCCTGGGTTATAGAATATTTTCTTTTTTTATCATCAAATATGTCCATGACATCTCTCGCCATTAACCACATAATTTGGAAGCGTTTTGTGTTAAATAAGTGTTAGGTCTCTCAAAAACAAATTAGATTTTTGAGGAGAGTTTTTTTTTTTTTTTTTACCAAGGGTGGAAATTAGACTTTCTGTCATCATCCGTGCACAGGCCAGAGGACTGTTCTGAAGCTGTGACAAGTAACGTGAAAGCTGCACCGAGCGGTGAGGAGAAACACGCACAGACTGGATGCTCATGATGGAAAGCCCTTGGGAACGCTGGTTACTTGATGTTCATATTGGTAAAAGTTTATTGCAGCTAAGATACAAAAAAGTCTCCCTCAGATCTAAGATAAGATGTGAAGATAATTATCTAAAAGAAATAAAAGCAATCTATGTTAATCTTGAACACCTCCAATATCATGTAGAAAAACTATGCAATATGTCCTTTAAATTGCCAAAATAGGGGACAGTCTGATTTGATAGGCTAATCTGGGAGAAATGTATTAATGTTTAAAATGTGACCCGTGAATCCATACAAATTCTAGAAGAAAATGTAGGCAACAAAATTTCGGACATCATACGCAGCAGAATTTTCACTGATACATCACCTAAGGCAACAGAAACAAAGAAAAAAATGAACACATGGGACTACATCAAACTAAAAAGCTTCTGCACAGCAAAAGAAACAATCATCAAAATGGAAAGGCAACCCACTGTATGGGAGAACATCATTGCCAATGATATATCAGATAAGGGGTTAATTTCCAATATATATAGAGTACTCATACAACTCAACAAAAGGAAGACAAAGAACCCAATTAAAAAATGGGCAGAGGAGCTGAATAGACACCTCTCCAAACAGGACATACAAATGGCCAAGAGACATATGAAGAAATGCTCAACATCACTAATCATCAGAGAGATGCAAATTAAAACAACAATGAGGTATCACCTCACACCTGTCAGTTTGGCTGCCTTCAACAAATCATCAAACAACAAGTGTTGGCGAGGGTGTGGAGAAAAGGGGACTCTAATACACTGCTGGTGGGAATGCAAACTGGTGCAGCCACTATGGAAAACAATATGGTGTTACCTCAAAAAATTAAAAATTGAACTGCTATTTGACCCAGTGATCCCACTTCTAGGAATATACCCTAAGAACCCTGAAACACCAATCAGAAAGAATATATGTACTCCCATGTTCATAGCAGCACTATTTACAATAGCTAAGATCTGGAAACAGCCCAAGTGTCCATCAGTAGAAGAATGGATAAAAAAGCAGTGGTACATATACACAATGGAGTACTATGCAGCTGTTAGAAAGAAAGATCTCTTATCCTTTGAGACAACGTGGAGGGACCTGGAAAGTATTATCCTAAGTGAAAGAAGCCAAGCAGAAAAAGACAAATACCACATGATCTCACTTATATACGGAATATAATGAACATAACAGTCTGAGGAATACGGTAGACCCAGAAACATGGAAGTAGGGCACAGACTGACATCCGTCAGAAGAGGGGGCAGTGGGGTGGGAAGAGATAAACCACAGAACTTATATGCATGTATGCATACCCAATAGACATGGACAACAAAGCCAGGGACGGGGTGGGTGTGGGGTGGGGAGGGGGGTGCCAATGGGGTAAAAAAAGAGAAACATCTGTAACAAAAAAAATAAATTAATTAAAAAATAAATAAATAAATAAATAAATAAAAGGAGGCCGAATAGAAGAAGAAATAATTTTGAAATCTATAATATAAAAATCCCATGAAAAATTAATATATCCATTCTCTGCCAAGACACTGGGAAGATTCAGATAGTTCCGCTGTCCGTGGTGAAACTTCCAGCCAGCGTGGCTACCCGCACATTTCTCCAGCACACCTGCTGCGGCCCCTCATACGTACCATCATGGCGATAAGGGCACAGATGTAACTTTGTTTCATAACAAATTGGAACACAGAGACCATGACGTGAACTTTCACACTTGGTTTTTCCTCATGGTTCCTTTCTTCTTCTAATTCTTCTTTCTCATCCTCTTTTTCCTCTTTGTTTTCTAGATAAACAAATATTTTATATAACTCTTTATGCAAATACAGTAGGTGAACTTTTTATAAATGTCCCAAGCAATGTAGCTCATCTATGGTTTTACCATGGCGTTTTATTTAAGACTTCAGAGATTATTTCCAATGAACAAAGTCCTTAGAATTCACACAGAATCACTAAGTTCTGCTTGGTAACTGTAATGGGACCAGGCACTCCGAAATTACAGGAAGCAATTTCGATTTGAGAGCGTGTGGAGGGAAGCTTCTAAGATGGTCGCCAATGTTCCCCACCTGTTAGCATTGATGTCCTGTATAACCACTCTCTTGCTTGTGGTGGGGACTTTGATGGGCTTCTACAGAACAGAATAATTGAATAGGGATGGAATACTTCTCCCAAGATTGAGTTAAAACTGAGGCTTTCTCCTTGAGCCCTTTCTCTCATTATCTCACTCATTCTGAGAGAAGCCAGTTGTCATGTTGTAAACTGCCCTATGGAAGGGCCCAGATGGCGAGGAACTGAAGTCTCTGGCCAGCACTCAGCAAAGGCTTAAGGCCAGCTGGTAGCCATGTGAATGGTCATGGAAGCAAACTGCCCCCAGGCAAGCCCTCAGATGGGACCACAAGCTTGGCCAGCAGCTGACTTCAGCCTCATGAGAGACCCTGAGCCAGAGAATATCAGCCTAGTCACAGCCAATTCCTTACCCTCCAAAACAGTGTGACATTGTCATTTTAAACCGCTAAGTTTGTCACTCAGTAATAGATAACTAGTACAAAGAGTATTTGGAGTATGGATACAAAAAAGGTGCAGAAAACCAACCAATCAACCAACGAACTACTTTGCCAGAGTGAATGTGATGGCCCACAGCTTCATTTTAGGCCATGCTGAGGTAGAAAAGTCATACTGAAGATGGCACAATCAGGTCAAAGCAAGAGAGAGAAAGTGTGTAGGGCTGAATTGAAGAGACCAATAGTAGGAAAGTACTGGCAAAGGTGTAAAGGATTTCTCCTTAAGATCCCCCTATAGTGGTCAGGAAAGCTATTTTGATTTCACAGATGAAGTAATGAATGACACACAAGTAAAATGTCCTTTGTGTATTACTTAAATGAAATAGGCTACATCTCATTTAGAAAGTTACTTAGCACCATGAAGAGGAAGCATTAAATCACCAAAAACACAGCAGCTTTGAAGGCTTAGAAGTGAGCCTCTTAGGGAGGCTGTGGTCTTTTTGCCAGCAGAAGCCCACTGCCTCCCATCTCTCCAATGCTGGAGTGGGGTGAACCTAGGTTTATTGGGGGAGTTAATTGAGCAGAGACAGTGATGAAAGAACTAAACCGGGTGGATTTTACAATAACTTGCATGCTACTTCTCTGGTGATAACATTTTTATTTTTTTGCATATATAGATCCGAATAAAAAAAAACTTTCCAGCCCTGGCTGGTTTGGCTCAGTGGTTGGAGCATTGGCCTGTGGACCAGAAAGTCCTGGGTTTGGTTCCCGCTAGGGGCATGTACCAAATAAATAAATAATTTTCCACCTTCTGTTTTACTTTTAAACGTTCATTTTATGATTGCAGTATGTGTGGGTTTGCCTTGTCAGCAGTCAAAATTTTGTTCATTTCTTTTCATGTTAAGTAATGTGTAAATAGGACATTTGGCTCTGACCTCTATATCTCAAACTTTGAGGCCACAAATGCTGGTTCTTGGGACTGTCCTTTGTAATTGTAATGCCAAAGGTCAGAAGATCACACTTCGGAAAGCAGTGTATTTCCTGACACATTCAGCAGGTGAAAACCTTTATTTAAGCCTGAGTTGCAAACTGAAACATATGAAGTGGGAAGCAGAAATGGGCAACTAACCAGTAGAGTCTGATGCTCTGTAGAGATTGTAGATGCCACCTGGGGCTGAGTGTGTGTGGGGAGGTTCAGGGTAGGATGGAAGAACCGACCTTGATCTGACTTTACAGAGGAATGTTGGATTATGTGACTAACCCTTCTGTACTGCTAAGCAGAGGCACTGTCAGAAGCAACTGCAGAAAGTACTGATAAAGAACTATGAAGAACAGTGTATTAGAATAAGCCTGATAAAGACTTATGAAAGAAAAGGACACCAGAGAGTCCACTCAATATACTGGTAATACAGACTGGGTGGTTGCTAGTTTACTAAACATTTACTGAATGTAGGAATAATGTATAACAACTGTAGCTTTAATTCCATAAAAATAGAAAGAAAAAACCACTATAACTTTGTAGCCACTTTGCTGCTACCTGCATACATTCTGACTTTCTTCCCCCTCCATTGTAAACTTAGCTCATTTTGTCTTTAGACAAAATGACTGGCTTGGCCTCCAACAGGGCGATGGCAACAGTGGTTGAGTGAATAGTTGCCTTGCAGAAACGAGGGACTAGTGTGCCAGATATTTATATTCTTCAAGGGATTCCAGACATTTCCTTTACTACGTTAGAGTTGCAGCTTTTAAAATGTTGGTTACTATTTAATTTTTTTAAAGAACATGCTGTGTAGGCCAAAAAACCAAGTCTGAGGATAAGCTCTCCACCACCCCAGTCTACCAGTTTGTCATCTCTGGTAACAGTCTGTTTTCCTTTAACATGATAAACTGAGGAAAAAAGGGGGTGGGGGGAAGTCTGTGTACAAGTTTGACCCTCTCCTCCTTTTAATTGACAAAAAGGACTCTTTCTGAAAATATTCATCCATTAACCTGAAAACTCTTGACCATGATTACATTATCAAATTACAGAAAGACTAAAACATACATATATGTACAAGTTGATATCCTTAAAATAATTTTTACCTTTTATTTTTCAAACTTTTCCCTGATTATGCCTCTTATTTTGTAAAAAGAAACAGAACACACATAACGATATATTGGGGCAGAATATAGGGAGAACTTACAAAACTTAGTTTAATTATACTGACCATGAAAGACAAGAAATTGTTGGGAAAAAAAAAAAAAAAAGAGAGAATCAAATCCAATGAACAATAAACAAAATACAGAGATGCCAGGCTGGGTTTATGCTGGAGAGAAACCATAATCCTGGGTATGGATGCACCCTGTGGAGCTGGCTCCCTACCTGTGGAGTCATCTGAAGGCGTCCATCGGTAATGTGGGGTGGTATACAGGTCAGCTTTGGCAGGGCCATTCTCGATGGGAAGACTTGGGTGGATGGTGTGGTAATCCACAGGATTGCCATTCACAGTCACCAGCAGGCCCTGGGGAGGGGGTGGGGTGGGGAGGGGGAGAGGGACAAAGGCACACCTGTGACAGCAGCTGCCATTTTCAATATGAACATACTGCCTCCTTCTCTTATGCTAAGGCATTACTCAACAGTGAAGAACTGATTAATAGCTGAACAACTTAGTCAGCTATTGATGTTAACAAGATGAAATTGTCTATTTCCTTTCTGAACTTATTCTCCACAGACAGATTGCAATAAAACATAAATCCAAACTTGTGCCACCTCTGCTAAACACCATGCAATGTACCCTCCGTTCTCAGTATAAAGTGTGAACTACGGAAAGGCTGGCTTAGGTTTCATGACCTGGTCTGATCTTGCCAATCTCTGCTCTCATGGCTGTCCTCCTCCCAGCCAGCCCTCCAGCTATAAGGAACTCCAGACTTTTCCTGAGCTCTGCCCAGCAGCATCATGCCCTGGCCTCTCCCTGTCCCTGCCATGGGGCTCTGCACAGGACTAATGCAACAGGTCTCGGCTTAAATGGCACTCCCTCCGGGCATCTCTGCCTGATGCTGCCAGCTTGTGGTTCCCTTATTGCAGCACATCATATGCTAAGTGCAATTTCTTTATTTTTTTCCTCTGTTTCTTTGGCTTTACACTTTTAAAGATATACATATAAACATACATATACATATGTGTGTGTGTCCACACATATGAATTCCTATTCAAATTATGTAACAGGCATATCTGCAGAGCAAAAATCTTTTTAGAAATCTTCCAATATGGCTTTTTAAAAGTTTAAATACATTCTGTGTGACTATACTGGAGTTCATGAGTCAGTATTTTAATAGTAATAAACCAGATATAATTTCTACAAAATAATTATTCAAAAACTTAAAGAAATTTTATAAGAGCTAATTCCATTTATGCTACTTTGACATCGCTTATGCACACATATATAATAATTCTAAGGATATACTAACGTCAGATGGTTTGTAGTCATCTTGGGTCATGGATAAAAGCTGCAAAAAGCAATGCAGAACAGCATGTTAATATACAAGCTGAAAGCATTGTAATGTTTATATATATATATCTATAAAGTTTTACTAACCACATATCCATTCTCTTAAACTAGCTCAATGCTAGTATGTTAAAATTGCTATGCAGAATATAAAGGGACAAATAATTTAATGGGATGTTGTTGTTTATTAGAACATTGTCCAGCTTCTGATATTAACATTTAATTATAACGGCAAATAAACAGGGATAAACTACATCACTACAAAAGTTGATTATACTTTTCAAGTGCTTTGTTATAATAGATTAAACTGCTTGACTTTATATTCCTAGAAACCTCTGAGACATCAGCAGAATTCTGAATGTTCATTTTTCAAGAAATAGACATTTAATAATAAAGAAAAATGCATTTGTTGTATGGTTTGAGATTATTTTAAGATTTTCATGCTGTCTGCAACAAAAGAATTATGATAGGACTACATTTTAAACTATATTAGTGCGAGGAGGTTTGCCCCTAAATAATAAGCATTTGCTGTGCCAGTGCAAAGGAGTTCCCCAGAGCTTTTAGGTCAGGACTCATGTACATTCTTACAAATCACTGTGGGTCCCAAAATGTTTTTATATATGTAGGTCCTATCTATTAATATCTACCACATTAGGAATTAAAACAGAGGTATCTAAAAATATTTTTCTATTAGTTCATTAAAAATTAAATAATTATTGTATGTTAACAAATTTTATTCAAGTAGCTATATTTTTAAAACAGTGAAAAGAATGGCATTTTTTGGTACTTTTACGTGTCTTTTTAACATCTGACTTAAAAAAAGGCAGCTGGATTCTCATATCTATTTCTGCATTCAATCTGTTTAACATGTTTATTTGGTTGATGTATGTGAAGGAAATCTGTTTCACAGAGATATGCAGTTGGAAAAGAAAGAAGTATTTCAATAGTCTAGCCAGATAATTGTGGATAGTTTTCTTTGCTACTATATCACTCAGCAAGTGGTAGAAACTTGAAGGTTAGTTGCAATGTGATATCTGAAACCAGATCAATCCTTTCTCAGTCTGTTTCATCAAAACCTGTTGATAATACAGGCACTATCAGAGACATCTCGGGTTTGGTTCCAGACCACCACAATAAAGTGGGTATTGACATAAAGCAAGTCATCATATTTTTGCTGGTGGAGGGTTTGCCTTCAGTTTGTAAAAAAACACAATATCTGTGAAGTGCAATAAAGTGATGTATGCCTGTACCTTGTACCTTGCTGGGATCTTTTATCCATACATCGTGATATAATGTGTTGGCAATTTGTAGTCCTGTCATAATTCTTTTGTTGTAGACAGCATGAAAATCTTAAAATAATCTCAAACCACTCAACAAATGCATTTTTCTTTATTATTAAATGTCTATTTCTTGAAAAGTGAACATTCAGTGAGTCATACAACCCTACCAAGTATTGACATATTTCATTACACAATATTTAATACAACACATTTATTAATATCACCACTGATTTTATCAGAAAGGTCTCTAAGTATTGCTAAGTTTCTAAGCTCTCAATAAACACGAATTTTCTAATATTTAAATTTTCACTCAAAAGTTCAAATTTTATCATTGCCAACAAATACTATGAATTGATGCCTTGAAAAGATGGGCTAACTACATTTATTTTCTAGTAATTGACTGCCAAATACCCACACCTGAGTAACCACAATCTGTCTATCTGCTGTTCTTTCAAGTATACCTGGTGTCTGGTAGAAAACGGCCAGTTCAGCCCATACTTCCAATGATCTGTCAAGTGCTTTTCATTGACACAGTTGTCATGCTTTAGTATGTGGCACTTTGTGTGGACTCCCCATTTTGTCACACAGAATATAAAAAGACATGTGCTCTAAGGTTGAGATTCAAAACATTAATAACAAGTTCTGGTTCATCAAGGATATACTTAAGTGGAACTGGCCTTTCTGCTTTTTTTTCTGCAAGTGTGTGGCCGTGAAGACTTTACCGTGGCTGTAGGGGTTTGTGCCACTGCCTTGGTTTATGCTTTTGTACCATCAGAGAAAATCTTAACACAATGAAAGGTAAGTATTTTACCAATGATTACAAAAATATTTTTGAGCTTGTGAATTGCTGTAAAGATCTCAGGAATGCCCAGAGGTGCACAGACCTCATTTTGAAAACTGCTGTGCTATCCTTTGTTGATATCATCATTTAGAGCAAAGGGCAGCATTATCTGAAACATGGTGTAATGAGAGAGAAAAGGCCCCCTGGAATCCTCAGACATGTTAGGGCAGCACATCTTCTCCACATTGCGGTCAGCTCCCTAAGCCAGCATTTTCATGGTTCCACCCTCTCAGCACAGGATGGCCAAGCATAGAATAAGACCATGCGTCTTAGAGAAACTTACCTAACACCAAATAAATCAGAGAATCTGCTCCTCAATTCTCTAACATGCTATAAAGCAAAATGCTGACCTCTTCTAAGAAATATAAGATTATGTGTCTTTGGAACATTGCAAATGGGACATTTTAACAAGTCAGTGTAGCACTGACTGAGTTGAGTTCAAAATGATTAACATGATCAAAATGTTATGTGAATTACTCAATGGTGACTTTTCCTTGTCAATCCATACTGTCTTTTCAAAATAGTGAGAGACATCTAATTGTATTCATGTAGATTGTCTTGATCTTCTCTAAGTGGTTTCTTGAGTTACTAATGTGGCTGGCTACGTAACAGAGTGAAAATATTATCTGCGATGTATTTTAACATTGAGCCTTTCACCACCCAGTGCTAATAGATTACTTCATTATTTTTGCTTGCTTCAAATACAAAAGTATTTAAAAAAAACTAAGACCATTCTTTCTCTTAAGGATTAAGAGACTTCAGTGGAAAGCAAAGAAATACAAAATGGTGCCTCGTAGAGTATGATGTAGCCATGGTACGTCCTCTGGAAGCTCTCTGGTACTAAGACTTCAAAATCAAACCATTTCTATAAACTGAATTTACATATGATACGTAACTCATATTCAGTAATATAATATGAGAATGGCAAGATAAAGTGGGAAATGGAAATTCCTTTCTTAGTGCCTTACTTTTCTCTCGTCAGTTGGGTAATGGGTTGCATACCACAGGCTCCGCCTCCTCTCAGCTGTTATTTGGATGGGGCTACAAGCCAGGACTCGATCCTCTTCCTTGGTTCTCTCATCCTGCACCTGAGACACAGAATAACTCAAGGACCAGCCCTGCCTCCCGGAGCAGTTTCTTCAACAACCTGGGTGACCAGGGAAACTTCTCATCTTTGCTTTGATATGATTATTTTTTTTAAAGTACTGTGTACAATATGTGAGATTTTTATCAAAACACTTTAAAAATAACAAAAATACTGTCATTTAAATGTTAAGCTCATCAATATTAAATGTTCCTGATTGCTATTAAGCCCCATAAATTATAAGAATATGCTCTAATGTTAAATATCCACAGCCTCTCAAGGTATGTTCTAAACACTAAAAAGCAGCTATGCAAATGGTTCTTGGAGGAAGAGGTTTAGAAAAAAAGTGCACAATTAACTATGTAAACCAGCCATGGACCATCTTTATCTAAGAAGAAATTTATTAAAGGGCGAATCATCTAGAGCTTACATACAATATTAAGCAGGGATATATTTTATATACAAAACTGTGACCTTGCCTAATAAGATACTGGCCTAACTTAGACAAATGCTCTGAGAGAGATGATAGAGAGGAACAGAATGCATTTGGGTGATTTCATTTGGTTTCTCAATAAAGGTGGCCCAACAAAAAGGGCATTAACACACCATTGATGTTGGAGCAGAGGGAGAGACGTGGTCATACTGCTCAATGCCTGTGTTCCAGTGTGCCAGTGTGCGGCACCCATGGGAACACTTGGACACATAGGGTGAGAATTCACACTTGCCAGGGGAAGTCCATTATTACATTTAAGTTTTGACAACTGCTTCTCTCTCTTTCAAACGTGTATCGTAGATTTTTATCTCAGAACTAACATTTGCTGGCTGGTATTTTTTACAATACGTGCCAGGTGATTTGGAACTATGATATAATCAGCCATCTGTCTTCCATCATTGCCTCCATGAGCCACACCCCTCCAGCCACTGTGATTTGCAATACTGCTATTAACTGTGTGGCTATAACTTAGATTGTCTTCCTAGTTGCCTTCCCTTGTCCCCAGATGTCCTTCAGCTAAGAAAGCCCAATGTCTCATCTACCTGAGTGGCTATAACAGCCTTCACCTTTGTGGCAGCATGACAACCAGGGCACACAGCGCCTGCCATTCTGTGTCTGACTGAGATATCGGAGAAAGCTAAGGGCACTTAAGTACTCTTACTAACTCTGATACCCTAAAGTCACTTCCATCATTTGTAAAACATTGTTCAGAAATAGTTCCCATAATATAGTTTAGTTTCTTTTGGACACATTTTTCTAGTGCATGTATACATACATATATGTATATGTGGTTTTGTGGTGGAAGCAAGCACAATAAACACTTTATAGGATTTTACTGGCACATTCAAATTTCAGAAGAAAATTGGATAAACATATAACAGACGATAAGATGGATTCCCTATGACCCCATGAAGTATGATGTTGCTGTGCAACTGCCATCAGTGGGCCCCAAAGAAAGGTGATAGGGGAGAACTGGTGAATGAGAATGGACTCAGTGACCCTCACCCCCTAGGCCTTCCTGCACAATGTGGAGGAGGTTTCCCACAGGACAAGGGAAGGACAGAGCACCGTGTCTCAGGTGGTACTTTTGCCAGAGATGGACAGCCATATGCACCTTACCCAGTGTCATTGTACCATCTTCCCCAGATCCCATTTACTTCTTTTGACTCTTTCACTTGTAGAATGTACAGTTTCTCTTGGCTATGGGTTGACTGATGCTCTAACCCCAGCCCCAGGTTTGTGTCTGAGACAGTTGGCTTTCCATATATATTTGTTGACTTACTGACTGAATGAATGAATGAGTGGATTAGTCTGTGGGGGTTACAACTGAGCTTTTTTTAAGTACTATTTTATACCATAAAAATGTATAACTTCTACAAAACCCACAAATAGTCAGAAGACAGTCTGGTAAATCCAAGAGTTGTAAAAACTATGCACAAAACCCATGGTATTTGGATAAAGAGAAAACGTTTATACAAGCAACACTTCTAAAATGTAACTTTTTCTACTATTACACATTAACTTAATGCACACACTGACTGAAAATATGGTAAAGTCAAGGTCTGAAAAAGGAGTCTCACATTTACTAAATGGATTTTCTCTCATATGTACTATGTAATGCAGCTGTTGATACTGCACAAGTACAATGAAGCAATGTTTAATTACTTTTAAACCAAGATAAAGGGATTTTTCTCTATCGAAATATGTTTTAGCCATCAAAACAATTGAGCTTCTTGCACACTGAGGTCCTATCATGCTGTCAGTGGTTAGAGGTTAGAGATCTAAGAAATTTAGAAAACTCCAGTCACTGTGATAACGGGGCATATAGTTACTAAGACCCTAACTTTGTTGTCAAACATTAATTTGGATCTGATTTCTACTTTTCAGTAAGTGTGTGATTTTAGACCACTTTACCACTCTACCCTCATCTTCCTTGTCTCTAAGATGGGTACAATACCTATTCTTCAGAGTAGGTAGGGGATTGAAAGAGACAATGAATGTAAATGACCTAAGTCCTTAATAAAAATGAGTCTTCCATTCTCCTCATCACCTATCATTCTTAACAGCACAAGTTGATATTATCAAAGGGAAGCTAGTCTTTTATTCTGATAGTATTTGTACTTAGTACTCGTTGTAGAATTAAAAAAGTAACTATAAGTAGAAACTAGTGATTTAGGAATATATTGTTGATTAGTGAGCAGTTAATAGGAATGAGCCATTTCACCTAGAGTTTTCCAGGTTACTTTGCAGACAAGACCACAAAAACCTTTTTATCCTTACAAGGGGTTCTTGTAGCCAGATGCGGATCAGAGTTGCCAGCGTGTAGTACATCACCAGCAAGAGAATGGGGTTGGCATACTGGTACCATGTCAGGTTTCGGTTTGCTACAATCTTCCACGTGCTGGAACAGTCTGTTTGAATTACTGGTTGGATACCAAACAACCTGTTAAAAAATAAACAAAAATATTTTTAAAATATAGGAAAGTGCTGTGTCCCTAACACAGAAAAGAAAAATCTTGTTTTTAGTACATTCATGAGCTCTTCCTAGGTTAATCCATTTTATTCTAGTTATTTCATTACTCGTCTCTATATATAACATTTTAAATAATATATGTATATATAGAGTATATAATATATAATGTACTATGTAATATGCAATATATAATTTTATAATTTATAATATATATGTCTTTAAATCACACATGTGTGTTTGTGTGTGTGTGTGTACATAAATTATGCCAACATTAGCCAGATGATCTTTACAATGGTTAAAAAAATCTAGCTAATACCAAATCTTTGCACACTTATTAGAAATTTACATTTTAATTGTCAATCAGCCCTATTTAAACCATGCTTTATTGAAATGTCAGATAAGTAGTAACATGTTAATAAATCCAGGTAAATGAACACATATTTTGTCTTTGGTAGGATTTAGCATTAGCTATTCAGTTAGTGTTGATATTATTGGACAAACATAGAAATTGGAAACAGTTCTACAATTCAACCATAAAAGCGAGATATTGTATACTATAGTTTCTGTTAGATATATTTCTGTCTAATTTTATTTATGGAAAATTTAATTTTTTTACTTTCACATATAATTTACTATTTACTTTGAAACATACATTTATGAGGCATTTTAAATTCTGAAATTTTGTATGTTCCTTAACTATATAATTATAGTGTATCTAATTATATAATGAAAAATATATAAAATATAATTCATTTAGAAATTCATTTTATATGAATTTTTCTAGGAAAGAAGTCTACTAAATGAACAAAACTTTTATATATTAAGTGAGTCTCATTCATATCTCTTGTCTATGAATTTCCTTTTATTTTTATGTTACATTCTTTTTTTTTTTAATCCTCACCTGAGGACATTTTTCCATTTTTTGTTCAGATAGAGTGGGAAGCAGAGAGAGAGAGAGAGGGAGAAACATCGACATGAAAGGGACACATCGAGTGGTTGCCTCCTGCACAACCCAACCAGGGCCGGGGACAAACTGCAACCGAGGTACATGCCCTTAGTGGGAACCAAACCCGGGTCTCTCTGGACCACAAGCCAATGCTCTAACCACTGAAAAACCTGCCAGAGCTATGTTACATTCTTCATTCAATGATAAAATCTTTTTAAGACTAACTGTCCCTCATTCGTAAAAGCTTTCAAGTTTATTACTGTTTTCTGTCACAAGACAAATACAGCACTGGTAAATTTCTGAACACAACTTTTAAAGTAGGCTACAAATAAATTAATTTTTCTTTAATTTTCTCAGAAAAATATAGGTTATACTAGAACTCTCTCTTATTATAGATCTTTTCTTCTAGGTCCAGATTTTTTTTGTAGGTACCATTAGAAAGGAAAAATGTTCCTGAAAACATTCTGAATGTTGTTTTTCAGCTCTAGGTTAAAATGTAAATCTCTTGTATAAAGTATAAGAGTCAAAAACTTTCAGATTTAGAATCAGATGAGGTGAATGGTCTTTGGATTAACCTAAGTGGTATGTTTCAGCTACCAAGTCCCACATCTAGTGCATATTCTAGAAATTACCTCATCAATTGTTAGTTTAAAAACACCTGTTTTGACCCATCAGCAAGATAGTAGTATTTTCCGCAGCTGATTGTAAACTCTGTGGCTCCTAAAAGACTATTACATTCACACTTCACACCTTGCCGACGGTATCACAGCTTATTTCAAACCGACTGCACATTTCCACAAGAACATTGAGGGATCAGTGTTACATTTTGTATGACAAATGCATGGACCAATGAGCATGGTAGATGCTTTAAAATGGAAGATTGTTGTAAGCTATATGAAAATTTTCCTAACAGGACTATGCAAATATTGTAAGACCCAAGATTTTTCTCTTTCTATTTTTTAATATTTTTAAAATTTTATTTTTCTTTTTTTTTTTTATCCTCACCCGAGGACATTTTTCCATTTTTTTGTTCAGGTAGAGTAGGAGGGAGAGAGAGGAACATAGAGAGAGAGAGAGAGAGACATCGATGTGAAAGAAACACATCGAGTGGCTGCCACCCGCACAACCAACCAGGGCCAGGGACAAACTGCAACCGAGGTACATGCCCTTAGCGGGAACTGAACCCGGGTCTCTCAGGACTGCAGGCCGACGCTCTAACCGCTGAACCAAACCGGCCAGGGCTAAAATTTTATTTTTCAGTTACAGTTTACATTCAATATTATTTTGTATTAGTTTCAGTCATATAGCATAGAAGTTAAATAATCATATATTTTATAAAATGTTTCCCCTGATATTTCAAAGTATCCACTTGGCATCATACACAGTCATTGCAGTATTATTGACTGTATTCCATATGCTATACTTTACATCCCAGGACTATTTTGTGACTACCAATTTGCACTTTTTAATCTTTCACTTTTTCACCCAGTCCCCCAACCCTCTCTGCTCTGGCAACCGTTGATCTGTTCTCTGTATCTATGAGTCTATTTCTTTTTTATTTATTTCTTTATTTTGCTCTTTAGATTCCACATATAAGTAAAATCACAGAGTATTTGTCTTTATCTGACTAATTTCACTTAGCATACCACCCCTCTCTTAAAGAGGCTGAATACTACAGAAATAATTTCTATGTAAGATGAAAAGTTTGTACTTTGAAATTTCACATCCTTTCTGTCACTACAATTCTAGGATGTTATGCGGTATTTAACTATTAATTTACTTAACTTATTGTGGACCTCTCAAATCTAGGATTGTTTCTCAACTCTGGCAATAAACAAAAAAGTAATATCATATTACCTGCCCTCCAGGAACTCACTCTTGTCTAACAATAATGGAGTGATATGCTAGTTTGGTGAAAGCAATTGTTACAGAAACCCTTTGCATCTGTGGTGTTTGGAATGAATGCTGGGTAGGGTAGCCAGGAATAAGAATGCTAGATTTTGGGATAATCTGAAAAAGATGAATACATAAATGAGAGAAAAGAGAAATCCTGAAGGACTGGTGAGATGTTGCCAGATTGTGAGGCTGAGCTGGGAAGGAACAGTCTGACTGGCACAGTGAGTGCAAAACTCTGCTTTGTTGTAGATGAATCACTGGATGTTTATAAACTACATTCTTTCTTGATAATTTCCACACAACTCTTTGTGTCTTTACAGAGGTCCTAGCCCAAACTTATTGAATAAAAATATCTATATTGCCAAAACTTATCAGTCAATAAAAGCACTTAAAAATTACTATCTTAAATCTCACCAAAAAAATGTCAGTTTGCCTGAGAACTACACGGTGAGACAACTACAGAGTGGCAAATTCCCAAGTATTGCTTATTTAGAAGCAGAAAGGCAAAGCTCTTCTCTTCTGTGTATTTGGAACATCCATTGTTTATCTTGGGCCCCAGGCCCAGATCTATCAATAATGGACACAGGTGTGTTTGGTAGGCAGTTCCAAAGGTTACACTTCTTATAAAATCTAATTGAACTGAGAGTGGGCAGGACATATAAGCATGTGAACAAAGAAAGGGTATTTTTCTAAAGATGTTACAATAAGTGTTTCATATATCACAAACTCTTCTATTTCTCAGAGGATGGTTGGAGACTTGACCCTACACAATGGTCAGTTTCCAGCAGGGACATACCAGAGCTGTGGCACACGCTGCTGCTTCGGTGCTGCCTTGTCTTGCTCTTTCTCTATTTCAGCAATTTTCAACCTTTTATCTCATGGCACATATAAACTAATTACTAAAATATGTTATATTTTTTTGCCAGTCTGACCAAAAAAATAGGCATAAGTTTGATTCATTCATGCTGTTGGCTGTTGTCATTTTTTATTTGACAATCTAAGGGAAAAGAAGTCAGTGCCCTGACTAAATAGTCCGGTTGCATGTTTTGAAAATTCTTGCAGAACACTGGCTAAAAATCACTGCTCTATTTCATGGCCAACTCCCCCAGCCATGTGATCCCCACCTTCTGGGAATTACAATGCAAAGTATAGTCTCTAGTTTCTCTTGCCTCTACATTGTGACCATTTCCAGAGTTGCCTTCAGAAAATGCAGGTTCAGTGTGTCACCTTTCTCTTCCTAGCTCTTTTCTCCACTGCCTGGAGAATAAACCCAAGACCCAGCAAAGTATCCCCAAGGCCTTCAGCAAGCTAGTCTTCTCTTGTTTTTCCAGATACCATGAACTTGAGCTACACAGGGTTATCTGGGGCTTACCTTAAAACGTCAGTCTCTTTGGTTTCACTATTTCTTGTTTTATTAGGGTTCTTACTAGCAGTTGTGACTTTCCCAGAGTTTCCAAATCAAGGATTAGGGGTGTATGTACCAAGGGGGCCTTGCTTACTCCTTAGCAATGGCAATTTAAGACATTAGGCTAGGAAGGGCTTCTCAGACTCTCCAATATCTCTCAGGACAACTCCAGCCCCACCCCCATCCACATTCTATCATCTGAATCCTTACGTTAATGAAGTTTCTGCTGCAAGGATTAGCTCTTCATTTTTTTCTTTCAGTCCAAATAGTCTTTATAGTTAATGTCAACCAATACTCACACCAATTTTCTTTATTTTATAATTTTTTTTCCTTTATTGATTTAAGAGAGAGGGGAAGGGAGAGGGAGAGAGAGATAGAAACAAACATTGATGAGAGAGAATATTGATTGGCTACCTCCTGCATGCCCCCAATGTGGATCAGGTCCACAACCTAGGCATGTGCCCTGACCAGGAATCAAACCTGTGACCTCTTGGTGCATGAGTCAATGCTCAACCACTAAGCCACACCAGCCAGACTCACACCAATTTTCAACATTTGTCATTTAGGTTTCTTCTTTCTATTCCTTTCTGTTATTGCTATACATTGTTGACACCATCAAGACCTAGCTCCCATGCTACCATCTCAAAAATCTATTGTGGTTTCTCCTAATTGAAATTGATGGCTACCCCAAGGCAGTCTCTGCAATGAATAAACCTGGGAAAA